GGGGCGGGGCCAGAACGCGGCCAATGGCGGGTGCCGGGCTCTGGAACGCCGTGAGCCGTGTTTTCCGAGGTGGCGCTTTGCCCCATGGGGCACTGTGGGTCTTGCTGCAGTTTTTAGAACGCCTGGAGCAGAGACGCGCTCGGGAAGGAGTAAACCTCGGAGTCTGCCGTGAAGGACAGGATCTCCAGAGATCCTGAGCAGACCCTCCCCCAAGACCCTGCAGACTCAGTGCCCACTACATACTGAAGCCTACACAGGGGACTGCGGGAAGCCGGCAGGGGCTGGGCCGGCAGCAGGACCTGCTGTCAGCATCAGCTGCGGGCCTGCAGAGGGAGAAGCCCACAGTGAGCAGAGCTCCCGCCCAGGATGGGGCTGCTCTGTGGCTGCTCCTTGTGCTTTGGGCTTGGCCTTAGACGTCACATGGACGGTGCAGTTACCACTCTGCTCCACTCCTGGATTGAGGGCTCCCAGCAAATGTATTCAGGAGAAGACTTAAACCCAACCTTGTTGCACTGTCCCATACAATTTTCTGGGCACACACAGGTCCCCCGTACCCCAAAAGGTCCCAGTCTGTCTTTAGTAGGTTGCAGGGCCTAGTGTATCAGCCCCTGTCCCTCCTACCCACACCAGCACCAAGCAAAGACGCTTTGCCTTGAGAAACCGATTTTAATATTCATAATCAGCAAGAGGCTGAGTCCTGTTAATGAGGTGTTCCTGTTGTGTCTGCAAAGTGGCTTGGAGGGGGAGCTCTAGCCAATCTGGGAGTGAAGAGAGCACCCCTCCTTCTAACCATCTGGGAATCCGGGCAGACAAGTGTCCCTAGCCATGCCTGGCTCCAGCTTGAGGCCCTACAGGCAGGGAACCACCTCCCCGCTGGCAGCTAGTGTTGGTCTTCTCAGGCAGTCACTGTCTACTTTGGCCTTCCCAGGCTTTTCGATGGCTCAGAGGTGGCATCAATAGGCTTCAGCAAAAATAAATAATGTCCAGGTGTCCTGCCTCCCAGCGGAGGTCCTCTGTGCTTCTGGAGTGCCTTGTTTCTTGGAAGGCTCATGCCTTGGCAGGAAGGGGTGTGAAGACTCAGCGCCTGCTACACACTGAAGCCGTACACAGGAGACTGGGTGAAGGCAGGAGTGATCGAGTATCCAAGGCGGAAGCTGGCAGGCGCTGGGCCGGCAGCAGGACCTGCTGTCAGCATCAGCTGCTGGCCTGCAGAGGGAGAAGCTCACAGTCAGCAGAGCTCTTGCTGTCCAGTACAGGGCTCCTCTCTTGGCTGCTCCTGAGTAGCTGGGGGCCAAAGAAGCAGGGTTGGTGGGGCCAGCCCTGACTAGGACCAGCCTGAGGCACAGGGAGAGCAGCTGTCTGGAGGAAAGGGGTGGGGTGGGGTGGAGTGGGTGCATTGCTGTAGGGCTGGCCAGAGGCTGGCTAGTCTAGAGAGCAAGCTGATCCCCAAATGGGACACTTACTTAGCTCCATCAGCTGAGTCTCATTCATGCCCATCAAAATCTAAAAAAACCATATTGACATTAATGGCAAGTGGGTAGCCCAACACTGGGGAGGACACAGAATCTCAGCTGGTGTGCTGCATGCTCATACCACCCCTCAGGCCTGTGATAGCCCTGCAGTGTATGCTCATGACCCAACAGCCTCTCCAGTCTGCTTCACAGCCAGGCCATCCAAGGCAGGCTCTTAGGTGCAAAGACCTTCCAGCAAAAGCAAGCAACGGCCATGCTGCCCAGGGCCAAACAGAGCAGGGTACAGCAGCAGAGTAGCTGGACAGCACCCTCTTCAGAAAGCATGGGCCCTCAGAACCCGGCGGATGCTGGGTGTGCCAGTGTTCCTGGACACACAGACTTTCATACCTGGAAGCCACTGGGTTTCTCCCGCCCCCCGTCTATCTCCATATGAAGCCCAGCCAAGGCAGAGCAGGAGAGTGTGAATCCTTCTATCCTTCCCCACCCCAGGGTGCCACCTACCAAACATGAGTGGGGTGGGCTCCCCAACATGCTCCTCTTGCTTGCGCAGGCTCTCTAAGGCATCCAGTTCGTCAACCTGTAAGAAGTGGGTGCAGGGGAGCATCTACTCAGGCTCTGGGTGAACACAGAGCACGAGGCTTAAACACAGGGGCCTCTAGGATAGTTCAGAGCTAAGGATGTACGCAGGGGCAGACTCACAGTGGCCTACTCTATACCCCTACTCTATGCTCCAGTGCAGGAAGGCCAAAATGAGGTGAAGACTTGGGTTTCTGGGCTAAGATGGAAGAGGTGGCAGATCCCTGGTGAAGACCTAGCTGCAGTTGCAGCCCAGAGGATTCCCGGTGGGTCTGTGGCCCCCAGGGGCACCACAGCGAGCCTAGTCTTCCTCTGGACACAGGGACACCACCACAATGCCCTCATCATGACAGGTGCCTTGTCTGGCTCTGGCAGAAACAGGTTTTGGGGCAGGAGATGGACAGTAGGGGGAGCTACCCCTAGAGCTACCAAATGTCTGAAAACCCTGGCTAACTCTGGGTTAGCTCTGTGGCTGCAGTGCTGTCCAAAGTGACAATGGCTACAAACAACATCAATCACAACAAACAGTACACGAGCCCCACAATTCACAGGGGTGTCTCCTGCTGGTCCAACCCCCACACAGTGACATCTCTGAGGTCTGCATTCCTCTCATGTTAACTCATGGGCCTCTACGGCCATACAAAGTTTCAAGCCGTACTTGTCCTTCTTAGGGGTAGGGGCTCCAAAAAGCTAGCCACCTGCACACAGCACAGGAAAGGGGAAGCAGCTCACTTTGGGAAGGTGCGGTTCCTGCAGCAAGCGCCACACAACACATCCCTTCTATGGGGAGCGACTGTCCATGTGGTGGGGGAAGCAAAGAGCCTTCTGAGTCTAACCAGTCTGCTTCTTGCAGCTCAGGCCATGCAGTCAGTACTGCCCTTCCCCTCAGCCCTGAAGGTCATCAGGGAGCCTCATACCCAGTACATACCCACACTGTGTGATGGGACTGCGTCACACTCTCCTGCAGTGGGGTGAGGGCCCTGAATGGTTTCTCATGTGGCTTTCATCAAGGACTGGGCAGCACTACAGATAGCAGGCAGCCCTGAGGGACCGTGTTGCTGTTTCTGTCCTAGCTCACACTGACCTTGGCTTTCTTCCCTTGCACCATGGCAAGAAACCTCAGTAGGAGGCTTGTAGAAAGCTTGGTGGTTTGTAGAAGGTTGGCTTGTAGAAGGCTTGGTGTGTGGGTGGAAGGGCAAGAAGGTGCTCCTACCAGGTGGCTTTTCCAGAGTGCTACAGACAACAACTGGGCTAGATGACACAGATCTCTGGATAGTGGCTGAAGCTGGATCCCAGAGAGAGACTCCTAGGACTCTGATACTCAGGAAGAATTTTAATACCAGACCCTGTCACTTCGATGAAGAAGGTAAAGTCATCCCCTCCACTGCTGTTGCAAAGAGCCAGCAGCGTGGTAACATTTCTACCAAGTGCTAGGCAAAAGGGGGTCACTACCAAAAGGGTCAAAACCAGCTGCACCTTGCGACTCTCCTTGATGCTCTGAGGGTAGACAGCCTGGCTCACATGCAGCCGAACGGACTGAGTGCTGGAGGCCCCAAGGAGTGCTGGCACCACCAGTCAGGGCTGTCAGCAAGCAGACTTAGGGTAGGAGAGCTGATGTGAGCAGCAAGTGATCTGTTTTACCTAATGCCTCTGCAGTGATTTTTCTAGTGGGTAGAAAAATATTGTATAGAAAGCCAGTTGAGCATGAATGGAAGTGGCCCTTTCTGAAGGCAGGCCAGGACTTGTTGGGCAACCTGGGCTGGTATCAAGCAGGTACACCACCTGGGCCCAGCAGGCTCAGAGCCACGGCCACTGCCAGGAATGGGCTGTGCCACACGGGGTCCAGAACTTACTTTGCTAAGGTACTCCCTCATCACCTGGATGAAGTAGGGCATGGCAAAGTCAATAAGGTTGTGTCTCCAGGCCAGTTCAAGTACCACATCTGGGTGAAGCAGGTCATAGCAGGTGAAGAGCGAGGCTGTGAAACACTCTCGCTTGCCTTCCTCCAGGAACCACTGCAGCAACTTCTCCACAAGCTCAGGATCACGTGACTCTGCAGCATGCTGTATGGCATCCTGTGGCCAAGGCAAATACACAGTATGGACCACAATGCACAGCAGAGGCCTTGAGCCTACAAGTAGTTGGGAGTGTAATAGCACCAGCTTTCTCCTCTGAAGACTCTGATACAGTGTGGTCATAGATGTCTGCTTCAAACTAGCTGGGGCAGCCTTGGCTGGTTTGTCTTCAACTTTGCCTAAAGTGAGCACCTCTCTGAGTGCTCTTTCCCTTGGGCCTTGGGCATTTCCAGACCGCTTCTGCTCCAGACTGAGTTTAGCTGCCTCAAGTGGCTTCCTAGAAGACTCAAAGGCTCTAGGAGCTCCAGCAAACTTCTCAGCCAGCATCCCTGCTCCTGTTGCCTGGAACCCACCCACCTCCCTGTTTCTGATCACCACCTGGCTTTCTCAGCAACTCTCAGGCTTGCTCTGGATTCTTATTTGTCTGTATCTACCTCTCTTCCCAGACTATGGCTGTGGCTGTCCCCCTGGCCGCCTCCCCGCCACTGCCACCACTGCTGCCACATGCCTACAACTTCACTGCCTGTGGCTCAAGTTTACTCATAGGTGTGGAGGGGTCCTGGTCCTCACCTGCCTCTTGCCTAGCCTGTCTTATGTACATGGCACCTCGTTGTGGTCTATCTGACTGCACCCTACTCTTCAAGTGATGCTGTCCATTCTGCTTTTATCTAACTCTTCTGCCTTCTAAAAATACTTTTTCCAGGCTGGGGATTTAGCTCAGTGGCACAGCACCTGCCTGGCAAGCGCAAGGTCATGAGTTTGATTCCCGGTACCAGAAAAAAATAAAACAAAAAAATACTTTTTCCTCGTGGTAGTGCACGCCTGTAATCCCAGCACTCGGGAGGTTGAGGCAGGAGGATCATTGCAATTTTGAGGCCAGCTGGGGCTACAAAGTGTGCTCAAGGCCAGCCTGAACTGCATAGCAAGACTCGGTCTCAAAAAGACAACCCCCTACAAACAAACAATTTCTTCCTATTGCCTCTCCCCAATGAGCACACTGTGACATGATTGCCCTTCTCCAAAAGGATTCTTAGGAGGTTCTAATCCTGCTCCAGGGGAGGATCGTCCAGCATGGCAGTGCTGACACTTGTAAGGGGGTCACCTGAACATCGGGGGCTCTTGAGCACCATCTCTATCTTCTATTACCTATGTGGAGCACCATATTCCCAGCAGTGGCACATACATATTCCCTAGGGGCCAGAGTCACTTCTCTACAGGCAGCATGCTCAGGCACTTTCTATCTTTAATTCTGTCTTCTGCTTCACCTTTTTAAAAAATTTTTGTCTTTTTGAGACAGGGTCTCGCTATGCAGTTCAGGCTGGCCTTGAGCTCACTTAGTAGCCCAGGCTGGTCTCGAACTTGCAATGATCCTCCTGCCTCAGCCTCCCAAGTGCTGGGATTACAGACGTATGCCAGCACACCCAACCTTGGCCCTGTCTTTTGGATTGTCTTATGCTCTGAGAGGGTCACTGGCTGTGGGAGGCCAGCCCCTGGCAGTGCATATACTACTCCTTGCTCGTCACTGTCCGCTGCTGAAGACGCTACGCATTTATGTTCCTGGAGGGTAGTTTGGGGATGGACTGAGCAGCTGTGACTGGAGGGGAAAGATGTGTCTGAGTTCTACTGCTGCCTCCCAGCAGCCAGCTCCTGGCACCTTCTCTGCACGTGGTTTCAGAGTCTCAATAGCATTTCTTCTTGGAGCCTTCTGCAGGTGCTCTATCAGCTCTCAGGAAGGACCACAAGCACTGTCACTAGGGCTAGAGGTCACAGAACAATCCAAAACACTCAATGTGACAACTTGGGGTGAAGCCTGAAATAATTCTGGCATTAAGGGTCACAGGCTTTGATAGGGTCTAAACCACAGCTAGGGGCTGTGAGAGTGAGACTCCCATGATAGGCAAGTGGCGCCCAGACAACTCTGAGGAGTAACACCTGCAGGTCAAGATTGCTACCTGCTGGGAGGGCTGCCAGGGTTTTCCAGCACTTGGAGCCCTTGTGAATCACTCAACTACATCAGTATCACAAGGGCCACATGTGCAGTTCCTCTTTGGCCCAGTGGGAGATCAGGGCAAGCAGAGGATGGCAATTCCTCTGGGCAGCCCAACCTGACTAGCAGATTCCCAGATTAAATTTCACAGTGGTGCTGAACCACTTCTCACTGGCAGAAACAAGTGGTTTGAATATAATTTTAATTTAGTTTTTAAAATTCTATAAATCTTGATAGGAATATAACTGGGTGTAGTGGTACATACCTTTAATCCCAGCACTCAGTAGGCTAAGGCAGATGTATTGCAGCAAGTTTGAGGCTAGGCAGGGCTACATAGTGAACTCAAGCCCAGTTTAAACTACACAGTGATCTCTGTCTCAAACTAAAAAGAAAAAAACTGCTGCTGAGCCTGCATGATGGTGCATGCCTATAATCCCTGCACTCGGGAGGTTGAGGCAGGAAGGTCAACATGAGTTTGAGGCCATTCTGCGCTACATAGTATGTTCAAGGCCAGCCTGAACTACATAGTAAGACCCTGTCTAGAAGCACAGCAGAGCAGGAGCAGAGCAGGAGCAGAGCAGAGCAGGAGCAGGAGCAGGAGCAGGAGCAGGAGCAGGAGCAGGAGCAGGAGCAGGAGCAGGAGCAGAGCAGGAGCAGGAGCAGAGCAGGAGCAGGAGCAGAGCAGGAGCAGGAGCAGAGCAGAGCAGGAGCAGAGCAGAGCAGAGAAGGAGCAGGAGCAGAGCAGAGCAGGAGCAGAGCAGAGCAGAGCAGGAGCAGAGAAGAGCAGGAGCAGAGCAGGAGCAGGAGCAGGAGCAGAGCAGGAGCAGAGCAGAGCAGAGCAGAGCAGAGCAGAGCAGAGCAGAGCAGGACCAAAGCAGAGCAGAGCAGAGCAAAGCAAAGCAAAGCAAACAAAAACAAACCTCCTGCCATACTGAATTTAGAAAACTCATGTACCTGATGGAAAAGAATCAACTCCACGACTCTTTAAAAGCTGTTCAATCCAAATCAGATCCCTCTCAACTCTCAATCCATGTTTTAAAAACAGTCCTTCCTTAACATCAGTCCTCTAACCCATGTTGAGGATCTCCTGATAAAACTCAAGAGCCAGGTATCAGGAAGAAGGAAGGGTGTGAGCTCCCCTAGTGCACCTCCCTCCAGGCATCAGGAAGCACGGCAAGGTGACTGGGCCAAGAGGAAAAAGGGTACGGGGCCACCAACCTTGTAGAGATGGTCTTTCTTGCACAGCTCCACGCTCTGAGCCCACCGGTTGTTGCCCTTGTACAGATAAGCTGCAATGCGCCTGAATTCGATCAGCTGGTGCTTCTCCAGCTGCTGAGCCAGGCTGACATTGTCGAAGTTGTCATAGGCATCAATAGATGCCCTCAAGCCCTAGGAAGACAGCCCTTCTGTGAGGAAGTTGGCACTGTGACAGCTTGTCTGCACAGCCAGTAGGCACCAGGAATTACAGAAAGACTTCTGCCCGCCTGTCTGCTGGTGCCCACAAACCCTCCTGTGCAAGGCAGCCTGCTGTGGGAACTGACTGCCAGATACAGAGAGGGCCCCACCAGCATCTGGGCTGCCTTATCCATACCTACCTGATAATCCTCCTCCTCAGTCAGCAAGTGGTTCAGTGCCTCGTTCACACTCTTGTTGTTGTGGCTCTGGACTGACCGCAGGTAAGGCTTCACCAGGGGTAGCTGGCCTGCCTGACAAGTTGGGAAAATGGTCAAGGGACTTGGTCTGGGAAGGAAGTGCCCAGGCCACACCAGTGAGAGGTGGAGGTTGGTATGGCTTAGTCGAGGAGCCACTGGGCACCTTCTAGACAACTAGGACCAACAGGCCCACACACTGATACGAAGAGGAAGGCTTGGGGTACTCAGACAACACTGTTTAATTTGTGGATAGGGATGGGAATAAAAATTTGTACTTGAAACCTAAAGCAGTCTGATAAACTGAACATGGAAATTTCAAAACCTGTTTGGGAAAGTGCTACCTTTCAAGTGGCCTCAACAGAGCTAGCCTGATACCCCTTCTCTCCAGACATGGGGTTTTGGCCAACTCACCTTTGAAAAGAAGCTGACTGTCCTGGTGTGGTCCAGCCGGGGAGACAGCACCAGCAGTAGGTCATTTATGAGTAGAGGCTTGTAATCCAAGTAGAACTGTAGGGCTTTGTAATAGATTTCCACATTGGCTACCTGGAAGGGGGCAAAGCTGAGGATCAGTCTCTGTCCTGCCTCCAGATACCCCAGCTCCACTACGCCACCTTCTGGTTTTTGCTCAAATGGCACCGTGGTAGTGAGAACTATCTTGACACTCCATAAAACTGAAAGGCCCAATATATCCCCTCCCATTTCTGTGGTATTTTTTTCCACAGTTTTTTTTTTTTCTTCCCGTACTGGGAATCAAACCCAGGGCCTCGCACTTGCCAGGCAGGCACTGTGCTGCTGAGCTAAACCCCCAGCCCACCCTGTGCATTCCTGATGGAGACCACTATGTAGCAGCTCTGAGCAGGATTAATATTAACCAACTGGCTTTCCATGTTTACTTGTGAGTCACTGGTCCTGACTGAGGCCTGTAATGGTGGGTGAAGGCAGGAGGCCTCAAAGGACAAGACAAGGCCACAGCTGAGGACTTTTGGTTCCAACCCCAATTAACTAAGAGCAGACTAAAGCTGCAGGCATCTCACTCCTGCAGTGAAGGCCTTCTTGGAGTTAACTTAATTCTCCTAAATTAATGTTAAGTGTTACTTGGAGAATTCCATAAAGGGTTTCCTAAGTCCTGCCCGGATTCCTGCATTTTCTTCAGTATCCTCCTCCTTTGTTTGAAAACATAATAAATATGGGTCTGAACCCAGAGAATCTAAAATTTTGTAAGAGAGTTGGCCCCTCCTGGAGCCCTAAAATCATTTCAATTGTCTCATTTATTTAAGCCTTCGCTGTCCACTTGTTTGGGAGATTGCGGGCCTGATCAACCTGCAATAACTAGGGTTATTAACTTGATACATTCCTGTTTCTTGCCTGCCTCATTCAAGCAGCTACACGAATATCTGACACAAGACTGATGTTCAAGCAGCAGCAGATGCTCTAGCTATTCAGTAAATTAACTGTAATAAGCCAAAATAAACTCAAACATCGAAACGAACAAACACAATGTTTTATTTAGGGAGATGATTCCAGCCTTCATTGTTCTGTAAGAATGTTGGCAGTGCATCCTACTACATCTCCAGTGCTTTCAAGCCAAACACTGTGACACTCAGACCCTAATGAACCCAACAGGAGCTAAAACCAACGGGTACCCACAGGAGAGGGCCGGTCATTCTGGATGGATGCCATGTCACTAAGGTCTGTCCTCCCAGGTTTCAAGGTCTGGCCAGGCTTCATTCTCTTGTCTCTTTCTCCATTGGCTTGCTGCCATTCTCTTGCTGACTGACAAGTCACTTGATGGCTTGCTGACTGCAGCATGATGTTCAGCGCCTGCACAGAGCTCTGCTGTTTGGGTAGCAAGGTGGTTCTTGCCCTCTGGAAGGCAGTGACCCAGGCCAGCATGACGTGTGTTCATGTGAACAGACATGGGTACTGGGATGTGCCTGGGACTTGCTACAGCCATGCCAAGAGCCAGGGATGGATGCCGTGGGAACCTCTAAAGCTGGGTTTAGGTGATCCAGGAGTGATGTGGGGCCCAGTGAGATGTGCAGATCAGAAGACTGGGAAGGAGTGCCATTGTGGGAACTCGGCTTTCCTCATCATTGGAGGAGCTCAGGACCTCACTGTTGCTTAGGATGGCTGTGGTACTTTTTGGGGTAGCTCTGGTTCTTATTTTGAGTGTTGCTCCCTAGCTCCAGTTCAGATCCCTCAGCCTGCTAGCACAGATCCTTCATCCTGCTGGCACAGACTTCCTAGATTCCACCACTGACCTCTGGGCCTTCCCAATGCAGATCGATGAAACAGGCTTGCATGAGACATTATCGTAGGCTCCTGGCCTCCAGCTGGACTCATGGGGGCATTGTTATGGGCTCTAGGTCTACATTTGGCCAGAGAAGAGACTGTAGTGGAACTGTGGGTTGCCAGGTTGAAAAAGAGAATGTGGGTGTTAAAAAAACAGGACAATGAAAAATATGAACTGAAGCCTTTTACCTGAGGAATGTATTTGAATTGCAGGAGATCCATTTTTTAGTCTTGCCTTGCCTTGTTAAATGTTAATGGGAAATAAGGACTGTGATTTTTTTCTTTTTGGTCTTTTTGAGACGGGGTCTTGCTATGCAGTTCAGGCCGGCCTTGAGCTCACTTTGTAGCCCAGGCTGGTCTTGAACTTGCAATGATCCTCCTGCCTCAGCTTCCTGAGTGCTAGGATTACAGGTGTGTGCCACCACGCCTGGTAGGACTGTGATTATAATAGTTCTTTTAATATGTTTTTAATGTCATTTTTAGATATATGTTTGTAATCAGGTTAATTATTCAAAGTATTGTGTTTTAACCTTGAATTTTGGTCACCCTTTACATATTTGGTGCAGGAATGAGTGCAAAAAGAATTGTATATATGTAATTGCTAAATTAATGTAAATTTGAGTAGACTAAGACATGATAAATTTCACAAATCTGCCACTAGAGATTGGTTTAAAGAAATGTGTCTGGTTGCCAACTTGACAAGGGATGGATTATAGTGGCTGATTGTGTCAACTTGAGAGGTTTAGAAGCTTAACTAGGGCCAGGGATATAGCTCAGCAGTACAAATGCCTGCCTAGCAAGCACAAGGTCCTGAGTTCGATTCCCAGTACCAAAAAAAAAGAATTGAGAATTGCATATAAGCTTAACTAAATTGGCTCAGCAATACTACACCCTAGGGTATAGAGGACCCACCTATGGTGGCTCATCACCCAGATGATATAAAAGGGAAATGAGGAAGAACAGAGGGGCTTCCATTCTTTAGAGAAGCTCCAGTCTTGGCCTTCAGCTTGGATGTCGTCTCCTGGTTTCTAGTGCAGACTCTTCGGCTTCCACCTTGGATCCTTCAGCCTTCTGGCATGGACTCATCAGCCTTCCGTCACAGACCCATCAGCCTCCTGATTTGGACTTGCACTGACACTGCAGTGAACTCCAGACCTTGGACTTAATCCTTTGGTCACCAGCGTGCAACACACCCTCTGCCCGCTTTCTTATCCAACTCTGTAGCTGACCATCGTAAGCCAATCTTGTAATTTTTTATACATTTGTATACGTTGTGTTACATCTGCTTCTCTAGTAAAACTCTGACTGATACAAGTATCCATAGAATGGACTAGGTATGGATTATACAGCATCTGGACCTACCTACATGGAATGGGCCACAGCAGTGTGCTATCTGCCTGCGGTGAGCTGCCCCATCAGAGGCTTCCAACTTCCATACTGCCATGTCAGGTAACGTGGATGTTCCCCATCAAGAACCTTATAAGTGCGGTGCTTGACTTGAAGGACAACTCTTCCTTCAGATAGTTCCCAGGAGGCACAGGGGCCAAAGACCTCCCTTGGTATCCAGCCACCACCCACCCTCACTGCACCAGCTGCACGTGGAAAAGGTGCCTGAGGAAGGCAGTAACTGCCAGAAAGTCCTGGGTCTGACAGGAAAGCTGTGGGACTGGATGAAGTCAGGACTCTTTCTTTTCACTGCAGACTGCAGAGGGGAGAGGTTGGTGGGACAATTATTTCCCCAAGACACGGAGAACAAAATGAAGACACCCAAAAGGCCTGGGGACTGATGACAGAATTTCATCTCCTCCTAATTTGCATGCAGAACTGAGCAAAGGGCAAGTCCTGAGGCTGCACACTGTCAGACCAGAAATATACAGTAGCAACGGCTTGCTTGATGCTGCCACCAAAACCTGTTGTGGCAGTGAGTAGAGTTCAGTGTTCTAGTGAGCCCAGTGAGACGAAAGGAAGGATGGCTACTCCTGGGCAGCCCTAGGCTGGTCCCTCCTATGGGTATTTCCTGTGCTCTTCCTCTAGAGCTGGTAGTTTCGTGTCCCCCACACCTAGAATGGAGCCTGGCAGCAGCAGGCAGACACTGGAGCTCTGCATCCCTGCTTACCTTGGCAATGACATCTTTGAACTGACTTTCTTTCCAGGCCTCAGTAGGGTGACTCATCATGGTAAGGATGGCATTATCATACTCCTCATGTTTGTCGTACAGAAACACCAGCTCTGCCCAGAGGTGTGCCTGCTCTGCGGCCCTCAGCACCTGAACAGGGAGGACACAGGTGGGAACTGGCATGTGTCATCTGAGGACTTGGCAGCCAGAATCTTGAGGAGGGCACAGGTACCTTTGGGATGTTGACCCGGGACCAGAAGAGCTCCAGGTGCTCGGATATCTTTTGTGGCTTGAACTTGGAGTAGAGGATAGCCAGTTCCGTGAACATGCCCATGTGGGCCCGTTCTAGGCCCAGAGCTGCCTCCAGCAGGAAGATGAGCTCCTCAAAGTAGCCACGATCCTGGTAGACCAACACCACATGTATAGCAAACGAACTGTTTACTTCCCTGCAGTCAGAACCATACCAAAGGCAGGGCAAGCACAGGCCCGTGCAGTGCCTATGAATGGTTCTGAAGTATACAGAACTAAAAATTACACCATTTCACTTAGTGACTAGTTGGGTCATGTTGGGTCAATGGAGAAATAGCCCATAACACTGCAATTCTCAAGTTTAAATACAAACTGGTGTTGTTTTAAAAAAATTTTTTTTAGACAGGGTCTTGCTAAGTAGCCTAGGCTGGCCTCAAACTCCAACTCTCTTGCCTCAGCCTGAGGAATTAAAGGTGTTCACATACCATACCCAGCTTATGTTGCCATTTTTATGAAAAGAAATGTGCAAAACAGAAAACAGAAAATAGGCGTGACAGGGTCTGAGGACAATTTGTTTTAATCTGTCTTTACAGTGTACTCCTTTTGGAACCCTTGACTCCAAAAAGCTAACTCCACTTAGATTGCAACCACTGTCCCCTGTCATGTGACTGCGTCCCCAGTTGTGATGGCCAGCTGCTTGCATTCAGACCCAGGGGCCATGGGTCTGAACCTTCCTCTCGGCCGTGCTCCCTGGATAAAACAGGTCTTGGTCACAGACTGAAAACCACGCTGGAGCCCTGGAGAAACACGACCCACTGCACTGTATCCCTGTACATTATGACCACAGACCTGGAGCAGGCCCACTGCAGGGATCACCTCACACCCTTCTTCCACCTCAAGACACCTTCCATGCCTTCATTCTGATATCCTTGCCTGCGCATCTGTACACTCTAAGGCACTCTGCCTGTGCTCCTGTCCGGAGCCCACCAGCTGTGGCTCCAGCCTCCACTGGCTGTCCACTAAGGCCACTGCTCTAGTGACTTCCCTCTCCACAGATGGCCTTCAGAAAATATCCTCTGAGTATATGCGCTGCAGAAGCAAGCACAAAACATCCTCTGAGTATCCTGCCTAGGATCCTTTTATCTTGATCCCTGTCACCTCCCAATTACCACCCCACTTTTCTTTCTTTCTTTCTTTCTTTTTTTTGTCTTTTTGAGACAGGGTCTCGCTATGCAGTTCAGGCTGGCCTTGAGCTCACTTTGTAGTACAGGCTGGCCTCCAACTTGCAACAATCCTCCTGCCTTAGCCTCCCGAGTGCTGGGACTACAGGCGTGCACCACCACACCTGGCCTCCATCCCACTTTTCTAGTCTCTGCAGCAAAATCACCCCAAAAAAGATGTGTTCCCAAGTTGCTCCTGGCTTTCTGTAGCCCTCCCCCAGCTCTCTCTCTGTTGTTTCTCCTAAGCTAGCTGGCGCCCTCTCCATGCTACATTTTACTCAGCGTGGTGGGACTGGACAGCTTCAGGAACCCCATAGGTAGAGGACTCTCAACACATGGATGATGTGTATCAGCCATTCTACTTCAGAGCCTAGGTACAATGTGAACAGTGCCCTGCATGCCAAGTGTATGCCCCTGGGATCCCCTCTTGGATGTGCTTGTCCTTAGGGCATCTGATCCTCACACATACTATGGGCTGCACACAGTGGCTCTGTCATGACTTTCCCCATATTGTCAGGAAGTTTTCTATGGGATGTCCCTGTTATATAAGCCACTTAGGTTTTGAAGGCCCAGACACAAGAGGAGAGAGAGGATTTTGTAAAAGCCCAATACCAGCCAGTGTGAGGCCCAGAGAAGCTAACAAAACACTGTGAATTTAACTTATAAACTAGTTGGCTGCACATGGAAGGAGTCTTTCCCACAGACATGACGCTTTGCATAAGTATGCATGCCACTCTGTAAATGCAATGCTGTTGGGGACTGTCCTGCACTAAGGTAGCAACATCCCTTTATTTGGGGGGTTGATATCACTCATCATCTCCATTCCTAGCAGAGCTCCTCACCTGGTAATAATGTATCAGCTCCTCCAGCTCATCTGCATGAATGACGATGTGAAGGCCACACAGCTGTGCAAGGTGGAACTCTTGCCCATCCACGCAGGCAAAGCACACCTAGGGAAGGGGCTCAGAGTGAGTGTCCCTGAGACAGGACCCAGCTCCACAGCAGTGCATGTAGCCAGGAATGCAGAAATACCAGACAAAGAGGCTTTATAAGCAAACAGGGGGTTCTAAACAAGTAGATTACTGTGAGAGCTGCCCAAGATTGGAAGAAAAATTACATTCATGATTTGCAGGCCAAGGGGGTGTTTGAGACCATGGAAAGAAGAAAACATATGTGTTACTTCCCAAGCCCTGAGATGTGGAGGTTGGTTTAGGTAACTGAAGAGTTATGTTGGAATTTGAGGTTTGGGGTTTCAAATGGGTTTAATACAGCTCAAAAATAAATATCAGAACATAGTGTATCTGAGCGTATTTTACATAGGAGGAGCATGCCAAATGGTACTCTTGTTGTCTGCACTGTACCATTTATGTTCCTGCATTGTAACAGGTATGAAAAACAAAGCATGCCCCTGTGCAGAGAAGCCAAGGAGCTGAGATTCTTGTAAGAGTCCATTAGACCACTCTGGGCCAAAAACAGAGCTGAGCTTGCTGCAGTCTCCCTACTTTCCTCACCTTCTATAAACAGCCCATGTTCCCAAAGTAGACAAAGCAGAACATGCACATAAGCAATCACATAACCCAGTTGTCATCAACTTGAGATAACCTCTGGCCTATTATTTCTGAGTGTGTCATATACACTAGCACCCCTCCGACTTTCACACAGTCCATGGATTTTATTATACACCACACCTGACAACACAGCCTCCCATGTTACTGGAAACATCTTTTCTTGTGACTGCCCATTCATTTTGGTTTTTTATTTTTAATTAATTTATTTTTTATTTTTATTTACAAGGTCTTACTGTGCAGTTCAGGCTGGCCTTGAACTCACTATGTACGAGGCAATCTTCCTGCCTCAGGCTCCCAAGTACTGGGCTTACAGGTGTGTGCCAGTAGGCCTGGCTGACTGCCTATTCATTTTGAACATGAGAACAGAGTCCAAATGTACATACTATTTAACCAAGGCCTTAGTGTTGAACAATGAAATTGATTTGAATCTTGTTTTGAATCTTTTATTGATGCTTCAGAGATTCATCTCTTTGCAAAATTTTGGGCACGTCCAGACAATTCGGATTTGTGACAGCCACTCTACCAATTTGCCACAAAAGACCAAGAATGCCACTTTATAGTAACTATGCTATTAGGCAGACAACATGTTTAGAAAGTGGTGGGATAAGACTTACAATGCTGAAAAGTCCATGCTATTAAGATAGTTTCTGGGAATGTCTGACACGGAGTTGTCCAGGGCCTTTTCCTTCCTACCATACATACTAGCTTATGAGGTTCTCTGAGTCATCCCAAAGAACTGAGATACCTGCTTGAACCAGAAGTCCACAACTAAACTCATGTTGTTCGGCAGAAGAATGCAGAGTACAACAGGAAAGATAGGACAGAAGGCCTGTCAGAAAGCACTCTCCAGTAGACTTTCTACAGCTTACCTCCTTCCAGGTCTGGGTGCTGTTGGCCTTGCGGCTGCTGTCCACTGCTGCCTGATACTCACCCAGGTGGACCAAGGTAGAAGCTAGGCGGGCAAAGTTAGAAACATTGCTGTACAGCAGCTTCGCAGCCTCATACATGCCCTCTTCATAACAGCGGTCTCCAACCTATGGACAAGTAGGGGGTTCTGGTGAGACAGTCTTATATATGAGGATTTTCTACGCTGGTATTTTTCTGTCTGCTGAGAAGAAGCATTATTTTTCTTTTTATTGTAATGCTGGGGAGAGAACTCAGGGCCTCATGCATGCTAGGTAAGAACTCTATCACTAAGCTACATTTGTACCCTTCAGAAGGATCATTTTTCTAATCACACAGAGTCCTCAGAAGGCAAAGCAAGTCTCCCATCCATGGACACCCTCCCCTCCCCTCCCCCTACTCCAGACAGTCTCTGCCTGTGGGCTCCTTCATTCCAGCACTTCTCAGGCCCTGCCTGTCATTTCTGCACCTGAACCCTCTGGCCAGGCTGAGGAGGCGTGCACCTTGCTACTCCTGGGTGTTCCCCTTTCTCCTCACTACAACCTGCTGACTGTGAATCTTGGGTCAGCATCACCCCGCTGCCACTTCCTCACCCCCTGACAATCTCTTTGACCTGCCCTGCTCCAAGGACCACAGACCATGGTAGCAGCCAGTCATTGCCATAGCCATACCTTAAACCTTGTCAGAGTCCTGCCACCCCACGAACTTCTACCACAGTTACCGACTGTGCCCAGCCCCTGCTCCAGTCCAGCTGTCATTGTCCCAGGTACCTCAACTCCACCAACGGAGTGACTCCACCTACTCCTTACTGCCCCTGCCACTCTGTCTGTGCCAGCTCACGCTAGTTACCTAGTTGGCAGCTATAGTCAACCTGTGTGGCCCTTGGTATTCACCCTCAACTGTCTTGGTTGCTTATTTTGGAACTTATTTTGAAATAAAAATTCAATTGCTTCTTGGCCTTTTGGCTAAGAGCAAGTGAAATAAAATTTAAAACCCACTTTTGTGTCTTGGTCCTGTCAGAGCTAATTCTTTGCATACTCCCTACCTGGGCTTGTAGAGCTACACACAGATAGCAGACGCCCAAAGTACTGACGAGTCTCTGAATTCATGATCACGAACCTTAGACAATCTTTCCATGCTACCAGTCCTCCCTTCCTTAACCCATATCCTCTCCTGGCCAGCATCCTTGTATCTTTTCTCCTCAAACCTCCAACGACCGGGCATGGTAGCGCAAGCCTGGAATCCTAGCACTAAGGAGGCTGAGGAAGAAGGATCACCGAGAGTTCAAGGCTAGCCTGGATTACATGGTGAGTATGGCCAGCCTGAACTACATAGTGAGACCCTGTCTCAAAACAAAACAAAAAACCCCCACCTCCAGTAGTTTCTCAAGGGGAATACCTGGTTTCTATTTCCTGAGAAAACAGACACCACCAGAGCAGTCCTATAGTACTAGACTGTGGCTATCCACTTCCCCACACCACCAAGACCAACTAAACTGGTACACTTTTAAAAAAAAAATTTATTTATTTTATTTATTTTTATTTTTTTCAGTACCAAGAATTGAACTCATGACCTCAGGCTTGCCAGGCAAGCATTTATGCCACTGAGCTATATCCCCAGCCCCTTCCACTGGTACACTTGATCCCTGATTTATTCTGCTCCATGTCAGGATCCCAGCCCTTTATCAATATCACCCTCTTTACAAAACCGTTCCGGTGGCTGGACGTGGTGGTACATGCCTGTAATCCCAGCACTCAGGAGGCTGAGACAGGAGGATCATTGTGAGGTTGAGACCATCCTGGGCTACAAAGTGAGCTCAAGGCCAGCCTGAACTGCATAGCAAGACCCTGTCTCAAAAAGACAAAAGACAAAAACAAAAACAAAAACAAAAAACAAATCTAGGGGCCAGGGATATAGCTCAGCGGCACAAGTGCCTGTCTGACAAGCGCAACGTCCTGAGTTTGATCCCCAGTACCAAAAACAAAAACAAAAAGAAATAAGCAAAAACAAACAAACAAACAAACAAAATCTAACACATGGCTGTACCAACTTCAACTATTTAAAATTTTTTTTTATTAAAGAAATACACTCCGTTTTTACCTTTAATTATTTTATCTGGAATTTTATTTTGATTAGAGAATTATATGATGAATTTTTCATCCCTTTCAAAATGCTAACCTATTTTTCAACAACTGGAACTTATTTTGAAATAAAAATTCAATCACTTCTTGGCCTTTTGGCTGAGATCAAGTGAAATAAAATTTAAAACCCACTTTTGTGTTATTTATTTCACTCTGTGCCCTCTTTGAAGGCTAGCACATTTGTACTACTGTACAGTTAGAACATATTTTCATTATCCCATCTTCTCTCTCTCTCTTTTTGCAGGGGATGATGTTTGCATGGGAGGCTTTATTATTAATCAGATCTTTCTTTCATTTAGTATTATCTTTGGTTAGGGTTTATTTAAACATTTTTGTTTTATTTCCATTTAAAAAGGAATGCTTTTTTCTCCATTATTTTATCTGGTTAGCATGGGTATATGGGAGGGTTACTAATTTTCAACATATATCTTTCATGTGTCTAGATTATTAAATATGAGTTGGCCAGTTCATTTGGTTTTCTTGTGGTAAGAAGAACACCTGCATATTAAGTCCTAACATCTTCTCTAGGAGGGCCTGGTTTTTTTTGAGGCAGGGTCTTACTATGTAGCTCAGGCTGATCTCTAACTCATAGCAATCTTCCTGCCTCAGCCTCCTGACTGTTAGGATTATAGGCACATACCACCATGCCTCACAAGGGGGGGCGCATTCTGATGTGCACAACCAGTGGCATAGTCAAATTCCACAGGGTTTAATTTCCATCAATGATAGCAAAAGTTATGTAATTTTGTGCATGGCTTGTTTCTCACCATCATGAATTTGTATCATTCTAAGGAGGATTCCTCGCCTAACTATGACTGCAGCAGTTCCTATTCCAAGGGGACAAAGCCTACCTGCTGGAGGTTGGCATTGTTGGGCCCATTAATATAATCTTCTAGCTCAGATAGACGGCTGGTTTTAGCCAACGCAAAAATAAGTTCAGTTTCTATGCAGGACTCATGGCCCTTTCTCCGGGCCATTTGCAGATATTTCACTAGATCCTCCCAGTTGTCTAAAGGCAAAAAAACAAAGACAAGTTAGCCCAGAGATGATCATTTTAAACGGGAGCTCAATTCCTTCTGTTCTGTCCTCAGCCAGATGTGTTTATCATCCCGGTCATGCCTCATGGCAGCGCAGGCTCCGGGAAAAGCCTACAAGGTCTTGGTTTTTCCCAGTAAACGAAGTTCTATCCAAGGAAGGAGAAGGGGAAATGGCAGGGCCACATGTGAGTCACTCCTGGGGACAGGAGTCTGTTCATCCCCAAGCAAAGCCTTCACCAGGCATTGGGGTGCTTATTCTAGCCCTTGGAAAGAACAATGCTACAATCAACTAGATACACCAGAAGAATATCCCCAGGAACCTGGGAATGAGTCACTGACCTTAGAGTTATTACAATTGTAATTATCTGTGTCTCCAAACTGCCTGATCTTATAAAAAAGGGCAACAGTCAACTGGACTGAAAAGCTAGTACCATTAACAGAGTAATATTTATCTCAGACCCTTGGAAAACTTTTACTTTCTGTTTTCTGTGATTTCTCTGGATATAAAATACACTGAGATTCCTGAGAATCTCTCCAACATCTTGCCTTGGCCATGTATCACACCAGTGAGCAGCAGGGCCCTGGAGAGGGTATTCACTTACTGTTCTTATTGGCTGCCTGAACCACCTCCAGGTAAGAGGCAGGGTCATCTGCCCTGATGTAGGAGTCAATGGCTTCCTTTACCAAGTCCTTTTTGAGTTGGGCTCGGGCCAGCTGACTCCACACAGCAGGCTCACTGCACCTCTCAGCAAACTCATATGCTCGATCCAGGTTTCCAATGTGCTCAATCAGGACCTAGGGTCAGAGAAGGACTTGAATTGTTCACAATACCTAGTCAGCTCCAAGGAGCAAATGTTTTATTTGGTTGCTCATTCTGCCTAAAGTCACATGATCACTTCAATTCAGTGCAAAGAAACTGGGCATTAAGTATTTCATGGATGAATAAATTAACAGAAGCAAGAGCTGTTATAAGAGGAAGGTGATTGTGGTGGGGGTCCCAGACAGAAAAGACATAAGCTAACAAAGGCATAAAGAAACGGCAGACTGTGAATCTAGTGTCAGGTACCAAAGACTAAGAAAGTGGTGGAGTGTAGAAAGGACCCTAGCAGAGAAGGTAAAGGAAGGACCCAACCAACTGGGAGGAGCAGAGAGATGCAAAGCATCCAAAAGAAGATGCACTGGATGACCTGAGTGTCTGACACCCTTAGTGATGACAAAGGCCTCCAGGGGGCATGTGCAGTGCAGCACAGGATGCGAGGGCCCAACAAGACTGCCTGTCACACCCACCTGGATCGCTGAGGCATTGACATCAAACTTGCGGAAGATGGCGAAGGCCTCCTCATACAGTGCACTGCTGATGGCAATGCTCGCAATGTCAGGGGCATCGTAGTTGTCCAGGCGGCTGATGTACTCCATGACCCGTGTGTGATCTGCCTTGATAGCAGTCAGGATCAGCAGATTCTGGAGGTTCCTGTGGAGATGGGGTGATCATCATGATGTCTAGGAATGAACGTGGCACAAAGAACTCTTTGGCAGGTCAGGCAGCCCAAGACACACTTTTTTTTTTTTGGAGGGACTGGGAATGGAACATAGCCCCTAAACTGAGTTACATCCTCTGCCCTTCTTATTTTTTATTTTGAGACAGGATCTTATTAAGTCACTAAATTGCCTAGTCTGCTTGCCTCAGCCTCCCAAAGTACTAAAGGTAATTAATTACCTTTAGGTGTGAGAAGAGGTAATGAACGTACATATACATGACTGATAAGCAGACAGAACATAGGATTTGTAATATATTTGCATCCTAAAGAGAAACAGTATGGCAAAGTCTTGGGGAAGTACTGCTAAGAGAATCAGAACATGGCCAGTTACAGGGAAGGCTGCTCTGGCTTCCCAGTAGCCCAACTCAGAGAGGTACCCTTCAGTTCTTTATAGTTTTGCCACATAAGCTATACTCCCAAGGAATATAGGTAGTTTAACATTTTTTTTTACAGGTAAGTTCAAACTTTATTTAAGACTATATTTTAAATTTAATGTTACTAAACATCTCAATGAGAAAAAAAAAAGAATCTAGAACACAAAAGAAAAAGATAAAAGAAAAAACCCAATAACCCCATAGGGTATCACAGCTTGAATCTGTCCAGAAATCAGTTTCTGATTAACATGTTTTTGAACTTTCCTTTTCTTCAATCATACTAGACTGTACTGTAAAATTATTCTTTTATTAAAAAATAAAAAATTAGCCAGGTGTGATGATGTATGCCTATAATTCTAGCACTCTTGGAGGTTGAGGCAGGAGGATCATAAGCTGAAGCCCAGCCCGCACAACTTAGTGAGAGCCTGTCTCAAAATTAAAAATATCAAAAGTACTATAATTGTGCTCATTGCAAAAGCCCTGGGTTCAGTCTCCAGTACCATACACATAAAGGTAATGTACCATATATCAAGAACCTAAAAGAGAAATACCATGATCATTACCAAATGATTCAGAAAACGCATATGGTGATCCAATACCTATTAATGATTAAAACTCTCAACCAGCAATAGAAGGGAACTTCCTGAATCTGATGAGGTACATCGATCAAAAACCCACAGCTGGCTGGTCATGGTCCATGCCTGTAACCCTAGCACTCTGGGAAGTGGAGGCAGGATAACAGGTTTAAGCCCAGCCTGGAAATTCAGAATTTGTGAGATCCTACCTCAAAAGGATCCTACACTCAGGTCATCCAGTGCTTCTTTTGGATGTTTTGCTTCTCTCTGCTCCTCCCAGTTGGTTGGGTCTTTCCTTTACCTTCTTTGCTAGTGTCCTCTCTACTCCCCACCACTTTCTTAGTCTTTGGTCCAAAGACTAAGTCTGTGACTAAGTCACAGTCTGCCCTTTTTTATGCCTTTGTTAGCTTATGTCTTTTCTGTCTGGGACCCCCACCACAACCACCTTCCCCTTACAATGGCTCTTGTCTCTGTTAATTCATTCATCCAAGAAATACTTAGTGCCCAGTTGTTTTGCACTGAATTGAAGTGATAATGCAACTTTAGGCAGAATGAGCAAACAAATAGGGGATAGGGTGGGAAAGTAACTCACTGTGAAGGTTCTGGGCAAACCCCTCCCTCCCCGGAGCTAATGTAAGTAATGGTGGGAGGCCAGATGTTTTCCACTATCATCATAGATGAGACGATGATGTCCATTCTTACCAAATTTGCAGGCAACATGACTGAGGAGAAAAAAAAAAAAAAACCTCACAAAGCAAGGCACCATTTACAGTCCCAGCTACTCAGAAGGCTGAGGCAGGAGGATTGTGTGAGCCCAGGAGTTCAGGGTCAGCAGCTCAGGGAGAACATTGCAAAACAAAACAAACAAGAACCCCCAAAGGAAAAAAAAAAACTCAGAATCTACCAAAACACAACACAAAAAACAAAAACTCTTGGACCAATAAATAAGTTTATCAAGGTTGTAGAATACAAGGTCAACATAAAAAAATCAATGGTATTTCTATATAAAAATAACATTCAGCAATGTATAATTGTAAATTAAAGAAATATAACTACTTACAGTAGCTGCAAAAATGTTAGGTACAAATCTAATAAAATATGCACATGATCTATATCACCTTTATATACTTAATGTAGCAAAAGACACCAATTTTCTCTAAACTGCTCTATAGACTTCAGGTAATTCCAAGCAAAATCTCAGCAAATTTTCTTATAGGAGAGGTGAGTTATTTCTAAGATGTATATAAAAAACAAAGCAACTAGACCAGGTAACATTTTTTTGAAGAATAATGAAGTTGAAAGTATCATACATACTACCTGGCCAACTGAGTTTTGATAAAGAAAGGACAGTATTTATAAGAACTAATGCCAGATGAAATAAAGATAAACTTCACCCTAAACTTCATACCTCCACAAACACAGGATCATAGATTTAAATTAGAAGCTATAAAACTTTCGAATGAAACATATGAGGAAACTTTATGACCTAGGATTCGGAAGAGTTCTTAACATCAAAGCACACTTCATAAAGAAAATTTATGAAATGGACTTTTTCAAAATTACAATTTTAAACTGGCCATGGTGGTCCCCCATCTATAATCCCAGCACTTGGAAGATGAAGGCAGGAGGATTGTGAGTTTGAGGTCTACTTAGACTATAAAACAAATACTAAAACTTTTGTTCTGTGAATGACACTAAGAGAATACAAAGAGTACCTATTGAATGAGAAAACTATATGCAAGCCACATTTATAACAAAGGAGTTGGAACTATCAAAACTGAACAATAAACAAACAACCCAACTAAAAAACAAGGCAAAATATTTAAAATGATACTTTATTGAGGAGGATACATGGATAGCAAATAAGCATATAAAAACTATTCAATATCACTAGCCACTTGGGAAATGCAAGTTAAAATCACTATATATTTATTAGGATGACTAAAATAAAAAATACCGGTAAGTGGAAACAACCTAAATGTCATGAACTGAGGAGACAAAAAAGATGTGTTTTTAAAAATATATAATGGAGTATTACTCAGCCATAAAGAAGGATAAATTTGAGGCATTTCTAGGTAAATGAATGCAATCTGAGACCATACTCAAGTGAAATAAATCAGACAATGTGTACACATCACACTGTCTCCCTCATGTGAGAAACTGAAATGTAAATAAGGACCAAAATGTACAATAAATATTTTGAAATGAGAAGAAATTGTTCAAAGGAAAGAAGAACTAGGATTGGGGAAGGGGAAAAAGAAGGAAGGAAGGGAAAAGGAAAAAAACTAATTAAAAAAGAGGGATAAAATGGAAACAAAGCTTTGTAAATAGGGAGGAGAGGATGGGTTGAAGGGAGGAGAAGCGATTGGGAAAAACAGAAATTGCTGCATCTGTAATCCTAGCACTAAGGAGGCTGAGGCAGGAGGATCCTCGCGAGTTTGAGACCAGCCTGGGCTACAAAGTGAGCTCAAGGCCAGCCTGAATTTCATAATGAGACCCTGTCTCAAAAAAGCCATAAACAAAAATAGAGAAATCAAAATATATCATGTACAGGTACAAATTCCCTGTGATGAATATGATCATTATGCATACCTAAAATGTACCAATAAACTAAATTATATAAAAAAGTACCAATAATGCCAAGCACAGGTGAGGATGCAGGAGAACTGGAACACTCACACACTGCTGGGAATGCAAAACGATACAGCCATTCTGGAAAGCAATAGTTTGGCAGTTTCTTAAAAAGTCTGACACACGCACTGTACGATCCAATAATTACTGCGTTTGTTCAAACAAAAACCTGGACAAAAATGTTTATAAGCATCTGTATTCATATTTACCCTAAACTGAAAATAACTCAAATCTCTGTCCTTCTGTCCTTCCCTTATTTATTTATTTATTTATTTATTTATTTATTTATTTATTTTTCGAGACAGGGTCTTGCTTTGTAGTTTCAACTGTCTTTGAACTCATTACATAGCCAGGCTGGCCTCGAACTCAGTGATCCTCCTGCCTCAGCTTCACCATTGCTGGGATTACAGGTATGCACCACCATGCCCAGCCCTTCTCCTCTCCCTTCCTTCCTTGCTTTCCTTCCGGTCTCTCCAAATGTCTTTCAAAGGGTAAGTAAACAAATGTAATACATTTATACAAACAATACCATTTAGCAATAAAAAAGAGAAAACTACTGATGCACACAGTGACTTGGATGAATCTCCAAGGCATCATGCTGAGTGAAAGAAGCCAGTTTTAAGAGCACACACTGTATGATTCCATTAACACAATGTTCTGGAGAAGGTGAAACTGGACTGGAAGAGTGGATGCCAGGTGTTAGGGGCTGGCAGGAGGTGTAGGTGGCCAGCAAAAGTGCATGTTATGGGGTAATAAAACTATTCTGTATCCTGATTGTAATGGTAATACAAATCTATATAAGTATTCATTCAAGGTCAATTTTACTATATGGCAATTTTTAAAGAAAAAAAAAAGCCAGATGTGATGGTGCATGCCAACCTGGGCACTTAGTGAGACCCTGTCTCAAAATAAAAAGAAAATAAAAAAGAGCTGAGGAAATATCTCAGTGTAGGTTCAATCCCCAAGTACTGTATTAAAAAAAAAAAAAAAGAAAGGACAGAAGGATGGAAGAAAGGACAAATGGACAGACAGACTTGAGAGGCTGAGGTAGGAGGCTCACGAGTCTGAGGTAAGTCTGAGGTATATACAGAGACCCAGCTGCGGTTTAAAAAATGGAAATTTCCAATGTTGTCTAATATTCTTTTTTTTTTGGTACCGGAAATCAAACTCAGAACCTTGTGCTTGCCAGGCAGGTGCTTGTGCCACTGAGCTATATCCCCGGCCCTGTTGTCTCATGTTCTATAGTAGGACTATATCACAATCTATTGATTGATGGCTACCTAGGATATTCTTAGATTTTTGTTATTGGAAACCATATTACTTTGAGCACTTTGTATGTGTGCTAATATGCACCAGCTGAGTTCCTCTAGAGTTCATAATCAGAGGAAGAAATTTGTCTTCTGGCACCAAACTGTTTTCAAAGTATAATGGGCACTCCCAGCAGGGGCACTCAGAGGCTACTCCACACCCTCAGCAGCACTGACCGAGAGAGCCACTTCCTGTTGTTCTGTAAGAGCAGAGAGACCAGGAGGAGCAGGCACATGGTGGCTCCCTCTGTACCTCCTTTGTGCCTGATGAGAGTGAGTTCTTGCCTTAGATTCGTAAGCTGCCTTTCCTCTCACTAAAGGGCTTAATTCTCGTGCTCTGCTTTTTTCTTTTTTTAAACTGGGCTATGTTTTTCTTTCATTAATACATCCTTTCCATACCAATCTTTTGTTAATTATGTTGCAAATATCTGCCCCCTATTTGTCGCTTTTCTTTTTCTCAGTTTCTTTGTGATAAAGTTCTTAACTTTAACATAGTCTTACTGGGTTTTTCACTAAAGATTTGTTTATTTTTTGTTACTGGCTGAAGAACTTATTAGGTCATTTATATTCTTCTAAATATAAAATATAATAATATAGTTTTGGCATTTATCCTTAAATCTTTTCATAGTTTAAGAGACGCCCAATTTATAATAAGGTTGATTTTCCATTTATTGCTGGGTGTGGTGGTGCACGCCTGTAGTCCCAGCACTTGGGAGGCTGAGGCAGGAGGCTTATTGCAAGTTCGAGACCAGCCTGGGCTACAAAGTGAGCTCAAGGCCAGTCTGAAATGCATAGTGAGTCCCTGTCTCAAAAAGAAAAAAATAAAATTCCATTTATTGAAAAGTCACTGTGTTATGAATTTTTATATATATAGAATATATAGGGATCTTTTATGGGGGGTGGTTTGAGACAGGGTCTAGACATGTAATGCAGGCTGGCCTTGAACTCACTTACATGGACCAGGCTGGCCTTGAACTCACAGTGATCCTCCTACCTCAGCCTCCCAAGTGCTGGGATTACACACATGCACCAATACTCCCAGCTAGGAATCTTTATTCTGCTAAAACTGTCATGTCCTATTTTAATTTTATAGTAATTCTACATTAGAGTGAATATCTTAGACCCAAATACCCACTTCAACCCTTTAAGTAGTTTAATATTCATTTTTTGTAGAATCTTGACTACTTTTGGCCTTTTATTTTTTGTTTTAAAATCTCTTTGTCTAATCCCAGAACTTGGGAGGCTGAGGCAGGAGGATCACTTGGAGTTCAAGGCCAGCCTAGGCTAGAAAAAAAAATTCATACATAGTGAATACATGATATGCAAATTTATTGAAGCAAGACTACAATGCAATTAACTGTCAACAGTTATGCTTCCTTTTAAAACATCTTTACTACTGTCTTTTTATATATACTTTTAAATATATTTATTGTTTTTAAAAAATTAACTGCTCTATCAATTATTTGGAGAGGTGTGCTAAAATTGTCTAATATGAATCTGCCAGTCTCCTTCATCTTTTTTTTTTGTCTTTATGAGACAGTGTCTTGCTCTGCAGTTCAGGCTGACCTTGAACTCACTTTGTTGCCCAGGCTGGTCTCAAACTCGCAACGATTCTCCTGCCTCAGCCTCCCGAGTGCTGGGATTACAGGTGTGCCACCATGAATGGCCTGCCAGTCTCCTTGTGGTTAACTTTTTCCTTATATATTTTGAGGCTACATTATTAGGTATATCTAAGTTTAGAATTATCTCCTTAATGACGGAACCTTTCATCATTATGTACTTGGTTTTCTATTCAATAATGCTTTTTATCTTAAAGTCTATTTTCCGATACTCGTGTAAGTACACCAGCATTTTTAAGTATGGCATTTGCTTTTTAAATTCTTTTATTTTGAACTTCTCATAAATCTTATGTTTTAGATATGTTTTGTAAAAGGCATATTCATGGTTTTGGTTCTCTATCCCACTCATATCTTATAATCACTTAATTGGAACGAGAGCTCCATACCCATCTAATGTAAGGAGGGGTAATGTAAAGAGGGGTTTCTTACTACATATTACACCTTTTGCAGGCCCTCAGTGTTTGTTTCCTTGACCTTTAGAGGAGAACCACAGCCCAGGTTCAACAGGATCTGGCAGTAGTCAAACTGTTCCATAAGTTCCTCTCCATATTATTTTTTATTCTCAGACTTAGTTGCTAGCTCACTGCTTCATTTTAAAAGATAATTTATAATTTATTCAAAATTTAGATTTTTCCAGTGAGAGGATCTATCTGGGTTTCCAAGCATCTAGTCTGTCCTACTGTCAGTCCAGATCATTTTTACCTACACATGAAACTATGTCTGGTGCAACAGTCACTGAAAGAAAAGAGCAAGAACTCCAAAGGCCTCCTGTGTGTAGAAGCAGCAGTGTTCAAGAGGCAGCACAGTCAGAGCCACCTACCTGTACGTGACTGGAAGTACACATAAGCTAATGTCTATCAAAAGAGCTAAGTCAGACCGCAAGGCAGAACACTCTAGCCACCTCAGACACCCTATTTACTAATAAGCTTAGTAAAGCTTATAACTCTACTAAAATACATAATGATCACATATCCTATAATTCACCAATGCAGCATCTGCAGATTTAAAAGCAACCCCCCCTTCTGCAGTACTACAACCTTCAAAAACCTTTCTGATTTATGAAATAAATCTTAGAATTAAATCTGTACAGCAGGATTTACGATATTAATACACCTTTTTTTTTTTTCCTGGTACTGAGAATTGAACTCACGACCTTGTGCTTGCCAAGCAGGTGCTGTGCCGCTGAGCTAAATCCCCAGCCCGCTGTTAATACACTTTAACCTGGTACAGCTTCTATGACGATGAGGTTTTTTTTTTGAGATAGGGTCTTGCTATGTAGTTCAGGCACTCACTATGTAGCCTAGGCTGGCCTGAACTCGTGGCAATCCTCTTGCCTCAGCCTCCTGAGTGCTGGGATTATAGTGTGTGCCATCATGCCTGGAACTCTGTTGATGAACTCTGAAGTGGCAACATGTTAGCTAACACCATGGTGAAACACACTCTCTGACCCTAAGACATTTATCTTGCTGCTGCTTCTGCCAGCCAGTATGGTTCCCACACTTGGTTTCTATGTCCTATTTCCACCAAGTCTCTGCTATTTATGTACCCAGTTCTGGATCTCCTGGTACTTCTTTCCTGCTGCTTCTTTCTTGGTTCACTCTGATTTCAAGCATTTAACACATACAGCTCTCCTCCTCTGAGCCTTGTGGTTCCAGAGTAGTACAGGCCAGAACAATAAGAAGAATAGTCTTCTGGAAAAGTAAAATTTTGGCTGGGCTCTAAGAGATAGTGGGATTTAAATACAAGAAGGGAAAGTTGGACTGAATACACCAAAGGTAGTAAGAAGCCTGGGGCACACCAGGTGGGTGAGGGAAGACAAGATATCCTGGAGAGTGAACATCAAGCAGCTGTCTGAATCTAACCACAGCCACTGCCGCCCCAGCACACCCTTACCTGTGCTCGCTGAAGACAGAGTTATCCAGAACAATCTTCTCTAGTAGCTCAATTAGTTCATTAGGCAAGTCAGCTGTCATAAAGGCTTTGACAGTGACTGAAACCTCTTCGGGATCCTGTGTTTCTGACAATGCTGTCTGTACAACCTGGGTTTAAGAAGCATTTAAAAGAACCTGATTAGGGTTGAGATATAGCTCAACGGCACAGTGCCTACCTGGCAAGCACAAGGTTGTGGGTTTGATTCCCGGTATCTACCTACCTACTTACCTACTTACCTACCTACCGACCTACCTACCTAAATAAATAAATAAATAAATAAATAAATAAATAAATAAATAAATAAAAGAACCTGATTAAAGCTAACTCAAGACTATCTTTGGACTAGGGGTAAAGTTCAGTGGTAGAATGCTTGCCTAGCATGTATGAGGTCCTGGGTTTGATTCCCAATACTGCCAAAAAAGAAAAAAAAAAGGACTGTATCTTTGGAGCTAAGCAGAAGGGGAGATGATTCCTCCAAGGCATTGTGGAGCAGACAAGAGAACATGGGAGACTGCCTCAAGGTAGGAAGGGCAACTTAGAGTCAATCTCAGTGAATTCTGTTTGTTCCATTTTGATAATCAGTTTTCCCCCTCACATCAAAAGAGCTACAAGCTGGGTGGTGTCACTCCAAGTTTGAGGCTAGCCTGAGCTACAGAGCAAGACCCTGTCTAAAACAAAAAGCAAAACAAAACAAATGGCTATAGACACTACTATCTGCTCCAGTGATCATATTATCTACTGTACGTTAGGACAAATAATACGGTACACAAAATAGGGATGTGAAATGTAAGTTTACTGTTATCTTGTTCTGTGAAATCACCATTCATGACAAACATGGCCTTCCAGCAGTGCCTTGCCAGCAGAAGGCACTGAAACTGCTTCGGTGCAAGCCACTTCCAGGGGGGTGTCAAGTGCAACCAGAGATAGGAGGCCTTTCTACCAGACAACACTGACAACCACCCTCAGAAGGGAAGACCCACAAAAGACTAGCCGTGCTTCCCACCATCCAATTACAGGTGATTCATCTACCAAAACAGGTAAGGTAAAATGACAGTTTTCCAAGAAGGAGCTATCTCAGTTAACAGCTGGTCAGAAGACCAGCACTATTCTACTTGTGCACTGCATGAGGGGCCTTCTGTGGCTTTGGGGGGCGGTCTATCGCTTTTGCCATTTCTGGTGTTCCTTAGAGGTGAGTAATGGCAGTATCTTAATGAGGAAGAACAAACAGCTGAGGACATCTCACAGCTGACATATACTTCTGACCACAGATTTTCACCTTGAGTATTTTATGTTTTGAGATAAGGTCTCACTATGGATCCCGGGCTGGCTTTAAACTTGTAATCTTCCTGCCTCAACCCCATGAGTGCTAGGAATACAGGCACATACTCCTGCATAAAGCCTTCACTTTGGGTCTTGAGGGGCCTGAAAGGGTCCAAGATCAAAGCAGTACGGTCCACCTTTCAGGTGGCCTCTGTGTATTCAATGGCAGCATGAGATGCAAAAGTTCCACCTTGGTGCAGCTTATAATAATCAAGACAAGCATGTCACGGAATTAGTAAGAAGGAACCATCACAGCAGCTGAACAACTAGAAAGGATAAATAGGAAAAGGAGTACCATGGCACAGCACCCCAGGTACACCTACAGGAGGAGATGCGCTTTCTGGTAATCCAACAATAAACTATCAGTTCTTAAAAGCCTTAGAGGGCTGGGGATATAGCTCAGTTGCACAGCACCTGCCTGGCAAGCATGAGGTCCTGAGTTTGATTCCCTACTCCCAAAACAAAACAAAACAAAAAACCTTAGATCTAGGCATGGTGGTATACCCTTATAATCACAGCACTCAGGAGGCTGAGGTAGGACTATCATCACAAGTTCAAGGCCAGCCTGATCTACACAGTAAGACTGTCTCAAAAAACCAAAACCAAAACCAAAGAAACAAAAAGCAAAAAACAAAACAAGTGAAACCTTTGAGCAGTTTATTACTTTATTTATCTTTAGAGCAGTTTAAACAAATAGATACAGAGCCAGTTGTGGTGGCGTGTACTAGTCACAGCTACTTGGGAGCCTGGGGCAGGAGAGCTCTTGAGCCTGGAAGTTTGATTTTGGTTTTTTGTTTGTTTTGAGAGAGTCTTGCTACATACTCCAGGGTGGACTTGACCCTAAAAGTTTAAGACCAGCTTGGGCAACACACTGAGACCCTGTCTCAAAAACCAGCCAGGCATGGTAGCTCACACCTACAATCCCAGCACTTGGAAGGCTTAGACAGGAGGACTGCCATGCATGTGAAGCCAACCTGAGCTATATAATGAGCTCAAGGCCAGCCTAAACTATATAGTGAGACCCTATCTCAAAAGAAAAATAAATCATAATGCATACACAGGTTGTTTTAAGTGTACACCCTTCTACTTTCTGTTTAAGTCAACACAGAATGCTCAACCTAAGGTTCTCTCAGGACACTGCTTTCTCTAAGTAAACTTTGTATGATAAGGACCTACTCCAGACACTGAAAGCAGTCTGCCCCTGTTGTGCACTCCTAATCAGAGGGATACTGCAATAGAGTGTCCCACCAGGAGGTGGCTACAGATGATCAATTAGAGCAGACTTAATGACTAACTCAGCAGCAACGCACAAAAAATGAGACAAGAAGTCCCACTGGTTGTACTTCGGTGCATTGTTAAAGCTGCCCTCCCCAACGGTCAATACAGGGTCAGCCATAGGGTGTATGTGGTGGCTGGATTACACCTGGACATGTCTGATATCTATGACCTTGGAGGTAGATTCTTTAGAGAATCTAAGCAGACTGTGTCCCTGGTCCTTTGTTCAATGTTCAGTCCTCAAGAGGTTTAACCCTGATGTTGATATAATAAAGACTAAAAACGATACAGACTTCTATAAATCTAAAAATACTTTAAAACAAAAAGTTTATTAAAAATTATGGCATATAACTGAGTAAAAAGTAGACAAAAAACAAGAAGGTAAAATTCAGGAAAGGTGAAATCCAGCCCTTGGCAAGGCATACAGAGAAAGTGGGAGCTTTAATTGATCATATGCTCAGTGCTGAAGCCACCTGTTGGACCAGGGTTTTGTTCCCACACTGGTCTTGGCTACTCTTAAACAGTATACCTGGCAGTCTTCAGCACAACGCTGAAAACAACAGAGGCACTGTCTGCTAACAGCTATCAGGGTGTGACAGGGGCAGGCCTCTTCCAGAGATTCCCATCTGCATGGCCATATCTAATAATGACCCTGGTTCCAGCATAAACTCAGCTCTAATGCAGTATTGGACAGTCAAGAGAGGTGACTAAATAAGGGAAGTCAGCTGAGACATGTTAAGAGCCACTTAACTTCTGTCAATAGGAAGCTAAGCTAGAAAAGCACAAGAATCTAATATGCAGGCACATCATCAAGTATTGTTTTATAAGGGGCTGCCCAACCTTGCTTTAGATACAAGGGCCAACTCTATCCCTTAAGCCAATAACAACTCCAAGTCAGTGCACCATTGGCAACTGAGCCATTTCTAGCCAAGCTACTTCTGCGGGGAAGAAGGTCTGTAATGGTGGTAAGATATGTAAATGTAACAATAAATCAGTCACTCGAGTCACAGGAGGAACAGCAGGCACAATGCAAGCATACGTACAACCCCTTCTGTGCCTCACCTGGTCAATCAGCTGTCTCCTAGATGGGTTGGTGTCCTCAAGGACATGGGCCCAGAGTTCAGGATCCTTTCTGCGTACCAGGTAGCGGGCCTCACTTTTGAACAGAGAGTTCTCATTGCACACCTGAAATGATCACACACACTGGTGTGTAACTCCCAGCAGACAATGGTGGCACACCTCAGTGAGTAACCTCTCCCTGCTGCTTGTATGGATAGCTGAAGCCCAGGTGAGATGCTGTGCTTTATAAGTGATGAACAGCATCCCACACTGTTACCACTGCATCCCTCAAAGTATCTCAAAATGCCCCTTCCTAAGTCTGCAGGACCACAGTCATATCCTTCTGTGAGGATGGACATACTCTGCATTTTGTGCTGTCTGAGCCACCGCCATTAGCCACAGGAAGTTCCTGAGAATTTGAAACATGGTGTGGTTGGGAACTAAATTTTTAATTTTAATATATTAAGTATTTACATGTAGCCAGCTCCAAACCATCTCTAAAGGGTTATCAGAATAGCCCAGAACAGGTTTAAAACAGCACACTGCAATATTTCAAGGCTTATGAAATTTAAAATGTGCTTTCACTAACTGATTCTGAGATCCTTCTCTGAATATTGTATCTTTAAGCCATCAGCTATCCACTGGGATGTTTGAATGTGTGAGGCATTTGCCAAGTCTTGGTAAGACTCAGATCCATTGAGTACCAGATACAGGGCTAAGTGACTTGTGTGTCCGCAAAGGTAACATGGGCTGCCTGTGTGTGCAAAACAGGAGGCAAGAGCAGGCTGGCACAGTGCCTCTGCACATCACAGCCCTCTCTTGGACAGAAACGACTTGAATGAGCACCTCTTACCCAGTTAAACTTTGTCTTACCAAAAGATCATACTGCCTCACAGCACAGGTAAGTGCTAAGATCTCAAAGAGGTCATTAAACTGTACTTTAATAAAAAGGTGGCAAATTAAGCCAAAAAGTGGCTTAGTGGTATTAAACTAAGGAAAAAGCCCAGCTTTATAAAAACTAGTTCCTCAGAGCCTGCCAGGTGAGTGGCTATGTTGACTCAGCCCTCTTGTCATTCTGTCTAAAAAGCAGGGCAGAAGGAGAAGCTGGTAACTCTTATCCATCTTTCACTCTCCGCACGCACACCTGACACAAGCCATCCCCGGCTGCTGAGTATTTACCAAAGGCTCTAAGGTGCAAGGGACAAATAGGTGAACATGTAGAAGGAGCTTATAGTTCAACAAATATTAGATTCAACCACATGAGATTTCTGGATTTTTACCTCCGATGGTTAAGCACCAACAGTTCATATGGCTCAACCTACACACATAATTATGTACATGCAGATCCAACATGGGAAGATGTTGGCAGGAGACTGAGCAAATGTTTCAAGGCCAGCAATGCCTAAGGGTTTGGAAGAGATGGTGGGGCACATGAGGAGCTGTCTTTTGGGGGCCCTTGGGATGAGGAGCACTGGGAGAATGCAGACCACTCCAGGTAGGTTAGCAAGAAAGGAAGCTGACTGAGTCGATGTGGGGAAGGAGAGTCCCCAGAGGAGGTCTTGGGTAAGGCTAAAGAGTTCAATTATGCCCTCAAGTCCCCAGGTAACATTGAGGACACTGAACACAGAAGTGGTGGGTCAGATTCAGGGCCAAATCAGCCCATAGGCATAATACATACAAACATGCCACAAGCAGGTCACAAAACCATGTCAGAATACAAAGCAACTGAATGCATGGAAATGTACCTTAAGTCCTGCCACCTCTGGGTACATAGAAAGACCTGGTCAGCCCCCACAAGAACACATTAGGTGCCTGTCCCATAAGTCCAGAGCAACATGGACAGTCAAGCATACAAGCATATCTGCTGCCCACCTTAATGAGCTCAAGGTCACATGTCCCCCGCTCATAGGCAACACAGGCCAGATGTGGGTCCCGCTTCTCACAGTACTGGCCCACCACGCTGCTGTCATAGTAGGCATTCTCTCTCAAGAAGCGCTCGGGGTTGTTGTTGCTATCAATGTAGATTTTGGCCAGTGCATTGTGAATGGCAGGCTCCTCACAGCCTTCATGAATCCGGGACTCCAACCAGGGAAGTAACAACTTTAGCCTTTGAAAGAAAGCAAACAATGTAAAAGTTTCAAGGCTACCGCTAGAAACTTCAGGATAACCCCCTAGGTTCTGAGGGTTAATTTTTTTTTTGGGGGGGGGAGCATTATTAGGGATTAAATTCAGAGCCCCCACGTGCTAGGCAAAAGTTATATCATTTTTTAACATTTAATTTTGAGACAGTCTTGGTAAGTTGGCCAGGGTGAGCTCAAACTGATGACCCTTCTGCCTCAGCCTCCCAAGTAGCTGGAATTATAGGTATATGACACTGTACACCTATAATGAGTGAGGTAATTCTTAAAACAAAACAAAATGAAATGAAATGAAACAAAATATCACTCCATTAAATTTAGGTTGTTCCAGGGATCAAGAGAGACATGGGTTCCAAATTGATTTCAACTGTGGTTTTTCCCCAGGGTCTTTAACACCAATAGCATTCCTTGATCTAAGAATGATCCTTGACCTATGATGTATACATGAAAGACCAGCCACAGACACAGTACTACAACCTAGAGACAAGCTGACAGCATCTTAGAGAAACACAGACAATAAACACCAGAATCCAGAGGTAAGAGAAGACACCACATAAGGATACCTTACCTGTTTCTTTTTTCTACTTCAGCCACCAGTTCATCAGTAGAGAACTGTCCTCTCACCACAACAATTAGGTTTTTAATTACTTCTTCAGAACAGTCCACATCAAGCAGCCCTCCAACCACAGCTGGGAGCCGGCTAGGGTTAACCTAGAACAGTCAAGGTGGGAATTTTAGTGCTGCAAACACAGGACACTGGCAGAAGGGCCCTAAGACTTGGACACTGCGGATAAAAATCTGTTTAGAACTGAGCTGTGTTTCACCAAATTTCATACATCAAAGCCCTAATCTCCAGTAAGATGATATTTGGAGACAGGGTCATTACAGATGTAACTAATGCTGAGGGTGTGGCCATAATTCCACAGGTCTGGTGTCCCTATAAGAAGTGCATGGGCACAAAAGCTATCTGAGGACACAGTGCCCACATGGCTGCTAGCAAGCTTAAAAGCCCTACTAGAAGCCAACCGTGCAAGACTAATAACGGCCCTTCAAAGTGACAGTCTCTGAAATACTCAGGGGGAAGAGGCAGTCCATCAGGTGCCACTCTGGGAGCCCATAGTGGCCCTCCATCAGTACCTTGTTAAAGTGGTTTTTCTTTTTTTGTACCAGGAATTGAACTCAGGATCTTGCACGTGCTAGGCAGGCGCTGTGCCACTGAGCTATATCCCCGGCCCATCAGTACCTTCTGAACGTAAATCTCAATGTACTTCTGCAGGTTGTTGCGGTACAAGTAGAGTACGAGATCGTGGACAAAGTCAAAGCGATCACACACAATGATGAGGGGCAGCTGGTCTGTGAGCTTGGCCTCCTGAGGATTGGAGAGCACAGAATAGGTAAGGTAGCAGAGGCCGCCTCGAGCCAGCCCCAGGATCACATCCTAACATGGAACAGCACCATCTGTGCAACAGGGATCCTGTGGAGGTAATGCTGGTAGCTAAGGCATACACTCTGGGGGATACAGTATTTGCTTTGGGAAACAAGTGGGGAAAAGTAATAGTATTTGATTAACATGAGAACTCTGCTAAATTTGACAGTAACTTTCCAAATTTGTACAAATCCAAGTATCTTTTGGGTTAAGACAGTGGTGGTGAACCTACAGCATGTGTGCCTCAGCAGGCTGTTTGTACCACTGAAAGCTCTAAAAAGTTCACCATCACTGGGTTAAGACAAGCAGCTTACTATGTACAGCCCAGCACAGACCAGGTGGGCCTTACGAACAGAGAGCCTAGCCAGGTGTGGTGGTACAAAGCTGTAATCCCAGCACTTGGAGGGCTGAGGCAGAAGGATCACTGCAAGTTCGAGGCCAGCTTGGGCTACCTAGTGAGTTCAAGGCCAGCCTAAACTGTATAGCAAGACCTTGTCTCAAAAACAAAAAATAAAACAAAACAAAACAAACACAAAACAAAACACACAACAGAACAGAAAGCCTGAAGTAAGGACTGCCCTTCCAGAGAGCAGCCACAGGTTGGGATGACAGGGTGTTCCCTCTGTAAAGGATCAGTCCCCAGATCATAATGGCACCCTGTTAGGAGCGACAGCAGGCCACTACAATCACACCAGCTCGTTTGGACTCATACATAGATTGTATATTTCAGGATCCCTGAAAATACATGACCTTATTTTCTTCAAGGGAACATGAATCAAAGTGACACCAGGTACCGGCAGGCTTCAGCTATTAAAACCACCTACGGTGTTACTCTGTACTTTTCCCTTCTTCCAGTTGCCATGAAGTCAACATTTAAGATGCACTGCCCAAGATGGCTAAGCAGCCATGTGCCTGGTGTTTGAAGGATGGGCAGAAAGCTGCCCCACGCACTCCAACAGCCAACCAGAACTGCTGCATGGGAAACCAGCAGACTTCTTATTCTTCATGGCTCTAGCACTGTGTGATCTCTTTGTTACTGCATCTCCCTGAGGCTAATCAACAGGGGGCACACTAAAGGTACTGCTGAAATACAGTGTAGCAACTCCCTCCACTCACCTGCTGGATAACAAGATTATAGACAACTTGTCGCTTCTTTCCGCAATGCTTTTTTCTTCTAAGAACCTTAGAGCTTAGGTGGAGCTCTGCACTGGGGGCTAAGGAAACACTGTCTGGACAAACCCAGCTTTCTGCCTCTTTGGGACAGTTAGCTCTGGTATGCCCACCTCCACTACCTGTGAGAGCAGCTTGTGGAGGGAGGTGTTACTGGACACACCTTCAGGAAGTTCTTCACCCGCTCTGGGTTATAGCAGCTGCTCTCACGACATATCCTCTCCACCTCCTTGATTTGCCCTGTCTTGCAGGCAGCCTGAATGTACTTCAGATGCACATCTGGGTCTTGGCTGAAGTTCACAATTGAGCCCAGGAAGTAGAAGAGGCCTATGAAGAGAGATTGCTCCATGTTTGCCCTCCTAACATTTACCTGCCTTCTCCATGACTGCTGTCCACCTTCCCTTGATGGCTGAGGCTGCAGTGACCCCACTCTACATCCCAGTACCCAGAGCCCACTCACACCTCTTCTTCCACATGGAGTTCTGCCCTGGCTCCCAAAACCAGACCTGATCTGTCTCTAATAAAGCCATTCCACCTGGAGCACTCTTTCTGGTGTGATGCACACAGAAGGAAAAGGAAGGTAACTGCTGAACACATACCACAGAGTGACAGCCCTCCACTGTGTGTTGTCACTCTGGACAGAACAAAGGAGCTGCCCTCTCTGGTCTGCCCAGATCAGACACCAGACCCTTCTACTAGGACCCAGGACAAACAGTACAGGATCTGAAATAAATTCTGTGCTAGACTGTGCTGCGGAGACACATGGCTTCACAGAGACTTCAGGTATACAAGGAAGATTCTAAGTCTCCCTACCCCAATGCAAGCCAATGTGATTTCTTTCTGTGGAAACACCTGAGAAGTTACTGAAATTCAGTAATATGCATGAGACAGTAATAACATTCTCCCCTTGGTTGAGTAGCTAGCAGGATCCAGGAAAGCAGGTGCAGTAGCAAGGTGGGGGAGCTGCACAGTTTACCTTCATAACTCTTGAAGGATTCAAAGAGCTCCACAAGGGACTGTGTGCCCAGCTGCTCATGGTACTTGGATGCCACCTGCACACACAGCTGAAGATTCTGTCTGATGTTAGCAGACAGCAAGGCACGAAGACATTCCAGAGAGTCCTCCACTGACAAGGAGCCGAAGAAGTTGATGAGCCACTGGAAACAAAGAAAGAGTCTGTATGCAGCTGTGCACAACTGTAAAAGCCGCTAACACTAGGGACATAACTAGGTCATCAGGCCTTGCTCCATCCCAACTGTCACAAATGTAAAGAATTTCTACTTAACAGGACTGAAAAGCAACCATCTATCATGATGAAAGTGGAAGCGAGGAGTACATTTGGGGTAAGATACAGACCTAAATTCTCCTCAAATAGTTCATAGTTGATATCAAAACTATTTGGTAAATGGAAACACAAGAGCTAGTCTAGCTTTTGCTAATGGTTTCAGGAGTGCTAACAGGTTGTCAGTGTTAAAATATCTCTATTCCTCTTATTAGACTAAGTCAGAGGTGGAAATTCGGGGGGGAAAGTGACATGGGGCCTAAACACACTGCTGAGCAGGTGAGGTCTGTCTGAATTCTTGGAAGAAAAGCGTGGAAGGCCCACACCTGGTCCCAAAATCCCAAACAGATATCAAGAGCATGTGACACAAAGGACCACACAGACACCAGCAACAAGGGAAGTGCCCCAGTGGTATACTATACCTCAGGATTGAGGAACTGAGTATGGACCACAGCCCTCTTGATGTCATAGAGGTCAGTGTAATGCTCCAGTGCCCGCTGCAGGAGACCTGCCTTCTCGCAGAGCTGGGCAATGTGGGCCCGATCGTAATGTGTAAACATCTGATTTCCAAGGATGGCATCTGCAACCTATGAAACAGCAAATTAGTGAGAAAACCTGATGGTGACAGTAACTTTTTAATGGCAACTGCTCAACTATGCTCCCTAGGATAGGGTACAGCTCATGGGGTGATGACTATGTTTCCACAGCAGAAGCAGCAAGCCATCTGAGGCCCTTTGTGTAAGGGTCCTCCAGTGTTGCAGAGCTGGCTTGGCCCACAATGCTGAAGATGGGCATATAAGTAATTCTGAGGCCTGGGATTACTCCAGAACCTTGCTGCAGCTCTTAAGAAATCACATTTTTTAAAATAAGGTTCTCTATGGCAAGATCAATGTGAAAGTTCAAGTGTATCAAGCTATCCTTTAATGAGCTCAACTTTCACACAAGGAATTGTCAGAATGCAATCTGAAAGTGACAGGTCATATTGTGTTCACTGGACTTGCTATTGAGTTAAAGGCAGAATTATGAGTGCTTAAAAAACAAACAGTCCTGGAAATAATTTTACTTTTTATAATTAATTTTTTGCAGTACTAGAGATTAAACCTAGGGTCCTGCTAAGTCACTAAATGGTTCAGGCTGAGCTTGAATTTGAAATCTTTTGCCTCAGCCTCCCTGAGCTGCTGGGGATTATAGGCACACATCACCATGTCCTCCTGCTGGGTTTTTTTTTTTTTGTTTTTTTGTTTTTTTGTTTTTTTTAAGATGGGGCCTAGTTATGTTCCCTAGGCTGCTCTGAACTCCTGTGCTCAAGCAATTGTCTTGTTTCAGCCACTCAAGTCCCTGGGACTACAAGTGGATGCCACCGCACCAACTACTGGAAAGAATTTTGATGAGGCCTAATATTGCCTCAGTAAGGACCCTGTGGGAGCTAATGTGGTGGCGCATGCTTATAATCCTAGCACTTAGTAGACTGAGGCAGAAGGATTGATACGAGTTCCGGAGGGTCCTCCATTGACAAGGAGCCAAAGAAGTTGATGAGACACTGGGAACACAGAAGGAGTCAGCTGTGCACAGTTGTAAATGCCACTAACATTTGGCACATAACTATCACAATGACGAGTGGGAGCAAGGAGGACACTTGAGATAAGATACAGACCTAAGCTATTCATAGCCTGGGCTACACAGTGAGTTCAAGGCCACCCTGAACTATATAGCAAGATCTTATCTCAAAAAAAAAAAAAAGAAAAAAAAAACTTTGTGGGATAAGAAGTAATCAGTGAACATACCAACCCTGTAGCCTTGCAGCATCATCTCACTGCTTATCTCTAACCTGTACCTAGTCCTGACAAGATACATTTCTGGGTGCCTTTCACCTGCAGCCCAGTATACACCTTCCTACCCCTTCTAGGCTGTAAGACACTGACCCGGTGTGGGGCTGGACACACAGCTGACCCCACACTGTTGCAGGGCTACACATGTGGTTCCCCATGGAACTAATAATCAACCCAAGTCCTAAGCTTCAGAGCAGCTCACACTTACCTGCTTCCCTTGTCCTTTGTTTGCTCTTGATCTTTCCTTACTATCCTCTTGTTTTTTAATATCGCCCCTTTATTAGACCAACAATGTGTTCTTGAGAATTTTGTTTTTGTGTTTATTTTTAGCAACAGCGTCTCACTACACAATCCATACTGGCCTTGAACTTGTAACCCTCCTGCCTCAGTGTCCCAAGGACTTGGATTATAGATGTACATCATGACAGTGGTTTGTTTTAGAGAATTTAGACAACACGGACGAGCAAAGACAGAAGCATGACCCAGTTCCCACCATCCAGAGAAGACTGCCTCACTGCTTTGGGCACAGTGCCCTCATCGTGCCCCAAATGCTTGCTTGCCCCTTGGGGTCTGACTGTTGAATTTCTGGTGGTATTTGGTATCTATTACATATAATCACCAAGTCATGAGAGTCCAAATACACCAAAGAGTAAATTAACATAGCTCCAGGGCTACACATATGGTTCCCCACAGAATTAACAATCAACCCATGGTCTTTTTGAGACAGGGTCTCGCTATGCAGTTCAGGCTGGCCTCGAGCTCACTTTGTGGCTGAGGCTGGTCTCAAACTTGCAACGATCCTCCTTCCTCAGCCTCCCAAGTGCTGGGATTATAGGCATGCGCCACCATGCCCAGCAATTAACATAGCTTTTATTTTCTTGAGGTATGATATGATTCACTTAGCAGCTGACTTGTGAATTTGAATAAACTCAGGTAATAAAACAAAATTAACAAACTCTTTCCCATTTTTAAGACAATATGTGGGGCCAGGGATATAGTTCAGTGGCACGAGCACCTGCCTGGCAAGTGCAAGGTCCTGAGTTTGAGTCTCGGAACAACAACAACAAAAAAGAAAAAATGTGACTATTAAGGAAAAAACAAGACAGATAAGTGAAAAAAAAGTTAATTTCTATAATCTTATCCAGGTACAAAAACTCTGATTAAAACAGGCTGATATAAATTGCTCTCTATCCCTTTCCTGTACTATGTATATACCTCTACATTTAACCGAAAATAGCATGTACATGTAATCTGATCCAAACTTCTCTCCACACCTCTCAGGCAGAAAAATGATCCCCATCACAGTAAGATACCACTGTTCCCATTAAAATTGATATTACTGTAATCCCAGCACTTGGGAGGCTGAGGCAGGAGGATCATTCCAAATTTGAGACCAGCCTGGGCTACAAAGTGAGCTCAAGGCCAGCCTGAACTGCATAGTGACACCCTGTCTCAAAAAAGACACATACAAAAAAATTAAATAGATATTATTTAAGAAAAAGGTGTTACAGGGCCAGGGGTTTAGCTCAGGGACACAACGCCTGCCTAGCAAGTGCAAGGTCGTGAGTTAGATTCCTGGTACTGGAGAAAAACAAACAAAAAAAAAGAAACAAAAGAAAAAAGTGTTGGAAAGGGCATGAAGAAATTGGAACCCTTTTGAACTGTGGGTGGGAATATAAAATGGTGAAGCCTTTTGGAATACGGTACAGTGGTTCCTCAAAAAGTTAAACTTAGAATGACTATACGATCCATCAGTTCCACTTCTGGTATATATGCAAAAAGAATTAAAAGCTGAGTCTTGAAGAAATACTTATATATCCATGTTCATAGCAGCATTGTTTACATTCGCCAGGAGGTAAATCAACCCATGTATCCATCAACAGATGAATGAATAAATAAAATGTAGTATATACATACAAATGAATACTATTCAGTCTTTTTTTTTTTTTGGTTTTTTGGTTTTTCTCCAGTACCAGGAACCAAACTCATGACCTTGCGCTTGCCAGGCAGGCGCTTTGCCACTGAGCTAAATCCCCAGCCCCCTCAGTCTTAAAAATAATTTGAGCTGAGTGTGGTGGTGCATGCCTGTAATCAAAGCCAGGAGGCTCTGGCAGGAGGACTGCCATGAATTTGAGGCCAGCTTGGGCCATACAGAGAGTTTAAAGTCAGCATGAGCTATATAGTGAGATCTTATCTCAAGAAGCCAAAAAATTTTTTTTAAATTTAAAAAGTTGGGAGCCGGGCATGGTGGTGCATGCCAAGAATCCCAGCACTTGAGAGGCTGAGGCAGGAGGATCATTGCGAGTTCGAGGTCCCCCTGGGCTACAAAGTGAGTTCAAGCCTGCTGCATAGTGAGACCCCATCTCAAAAAGACAAAAATAAAATAAAATAAAATGAAAAGTTGGAATTTTTGTTGGGTGTGGTGGCACATGTTTGTAATCTCAGCACTCAGGAGGTTTAAGTAGGAGAATTTTGAGTTCTAGGCCAGTCTGGACTACATTATAAAAACTTGTCTCAAGAAAAAGAAAGACTGCCGGGTATGGTGGTGCATGCCTATAATCCCAGCACTAGGGAGGCTGAGGCAGGAGGATCGTTGTAAGTTCGAGACCAGCCTGGGCTACAAAGTGAGTCAAAGGTCAGCCTGAACTGCATAGCAAGACCCCGTCTCAAGAAGACAAAACAAAACAAAAGAAAATAGACCAAGCCAAACAAAAAGATAAATATTTTAAACTTACATTTATATGAACTAGAATAGCTACTTTTACAGAAACAGGGAGTAGAATGCTGGTTGGCGAATACTGGGGACACGAGGGAATAGGAAGTTACTGGTAGTGGCTACACAGTTCTTTTCTGGGATGATGAAAAACTCTAGAAATAGCTAGGAATGGTGGTGCATGCCTGTTACTCCAGCTACTTGGGAGACTGAGGCAGAAGGACTGCCAAGTTCAAGGCCAGCCTGGGCAACTTGAGACCCTGTCTCAAAACAAGATTAAAGAAGGACTGAAAATGTATCTTGTTAGTGGAGTGTTTCCTTACCATGGATGAGATCCTGGATTCAGTACCCAGTAACAACAACAACAACAAAAAGTTCTGGAAATACACAGTGGTGATGGTTATTCAATCTTATGAGTGTTTTTAATGATACTGCATTGTACATTTAAAAATTGTTAAAATGGTAACCTCTGCTATAGAGATTTATCACAAAGAAAATGGAAAAAAGGAAGAAATGATTCCCCTGATTGGAACCGTTTCCGTGAAAGTCTTCCGCCAGGACTTCTGGAGAACCTGACAGGAAGTCGCAGAGAATGTCCACTGAAAAGTGCCAAGATGAAGCCTTGGTGAAAGCACAGCCCAGTGAAACCCCGTACTCAGGTGTGCACAGCCCACACGAGGTGCAGCAAGTGTTCTGCTCCTTGGTGTTAGTCTAGAGTGTCACTTGCCTGGGGTGCATGGATCAGATTCATCTCTAATAGCCGAGTCTGGAGGTGCCCCTCAGCCGGGCAATTATTCTTCAAAACATCCAACAGGAAGGAAGTACACTGCTGAATTAAACTGTTTTCCATGAAAATGTCCACAATCTGCAAAGATCCAAGCCACATTTTCATTAAAAGGAAGCAGTTTTATTTTCCTATTGAAATAGTTCCTGAAATAGAATCTCATTTAGAAATTCAGTCGTTAGTTCTCTCCTTTGCATTTTTTAATGTCTTCAAAATTCAAGAAATTCACAGCCATTATTTTTAAAAGGTAATTTTGTGAAATCACATCACTGATGCCATCCTCATCAATAGGACAAGTTACTGTAGTGGATTAAAGAGTAACTTTTTATAATGTGAGCAACCAGAATCCTCTGAAGTGATACAAATAATCAAGTAACAATTAATCAAAGCTACAGACAGCCAGTAGTACCTGTTGTCTGGCCCGTTTACCATCATTATTCAGGTACAAATGGGAAAATGTCAGCATTTACTCAGACATTAATTATTAAAGTTAAGGGCCGGAGATATAGCGCAGTGGCACAGTGCCTGTCTGGCAGGTGTAAGGTCCTGAGTTCGATTCCCAGAACCAGGAAAAAAAAAGTTTCTAATGTACATTAATTTAAAGAAAAAATAAGCCTTATAGGATGAGAAATATAGGTAATAAATTTAGTAGCTGTGCAATTGTTTTCATACTTAAAGTACAAGAGGAAAGTTTAAAAAATTTATGAAAAGTAATCAAGATTTAAACTGGAGATTTCTTTCCCATTGAGAGCTAAATAAATTGGTTCAAAATTCTTATTCACAATCAGTAAAATATCTGCAAATTTACAAGCATAAATCCAATAAAATTGCACTTATTATTTCTAGGCAGGTTGTTAGTTTTGTTGCCCTGCTTCGAGCTTTGCTACACATCTACGTTATTACCCAGAAGTTGTTTGAAACTTCACTGAAGTTATTTGATACGTGTTTATACCTAAATACTAAATAAGTTACACTAAACAGACTGGTGTCCACATAAATCCAGGGCAGGCAGACACCTACAAGAGGCAAATCTGCGTGACTTGACAGCAGCTGTCTTGGTGCTCAAGCAGACTTCAGGCTGTTCGTCATAAAGAGATAATAAGGTAGTAATGGGATGATGTGAAGAATGGGTTACCATGCTCAAATACCATCCTCACACCTTCCACCAATCACTATTTCAGAAAACAAAACCCTTACAACTGGACACACAAATCCTTCAACATATTTCCAATCAAAGGTAAACCAGGTATGGAGGCGTAAACCTATAAACCCAGGACTCTGGAGGCTAAGGATTGAGAGTTGGAGCCCAGCGAGGGCAACTTAGCAAGATCTATAGCTCAGTGCAAAGACCCTGGGTCCAATCCCAGGTCCCATGAAAGACAGAGAGGGAGAGGGGGAGGGAGGGAGAAGAGAATCTTTCTTTTTCTTTGGTCTTGTTTTTTTGAGCTGGGAATCAAACTCAGGATCTTGCACTTTCCAGGCAGGCATCGTGTCATTGAGCTATCTCCCCAGCACCCCTTTTTCGGTCTTTTTGAGACAGGATTTCACTGTGCAGTTCAGGCTGGCCTTGAGCTCACTTGGTAGCCCAGGGTGGTCTCGAACTTGCAACAACCCTCCTGCCTCAGCCTCTTGAGTGCTGGGATTACAGGCATGTGCCACCATGCCCGGCTGGGAATCTTCTTAATGGCTCTAAAAAGGCACAAAATATTGACCCCAGCAGGTTGTGCATACCTGGCTGACGTTGACCAAAGGCTCTTCATCCTGCACCAGCATTTGGGAAAACTGCAGACCCTGTTCGGGACTGATCCTCATCACACTTCTCAGCAAAAAGATCCAGTCTGGGGTATATCCAACCTGGACGTGAGGAAACACCAATTAGAGAAAGTAACTCAGACCATGCTCATAGTAACAGTAAAGACCTTAACATAGCCAAAGAAACGGAAATCCTGCAAAGTGAGCTGTCACACCACAATGGAGTGAAACTAGAAACCCATAGCAGAAACACATGTACTTAGAATACAATTACTTTTTTCCCTCTTGCTTTCTTCCTATTATCTTTCTTTTATTTCATACCTCATTTATATATTAACTTTTTCATATAAGGGAAATCATATGATATTTAAGCTTGTGTGTCTGATTTACTTCACTTAACATTATGGTCTCAAGGTATATCCCTTTTTCTGCAAATGCCTTAAGTTTAACTTTCTTTATAGCAGAGTAGTACTCCAGTATACCAGTTTCTTTATCCATTCATCTGTTAATGGGCATATAGGCTGTTTCCAAGTGTTAGCTACTATGAATTGTGCTGCTATAAACATGGGTATGGATACATCACTTGGTATGATGTTTTTAACTCTTTTCAGAAGATACATAAAAGGGGCATAGTTGGGCTGAATGGAATTTCTAGTTTTAGTTTTTTGAAGAATCTCCATACTGATTTCCATAGTGGTTGTATCAGCTGACACTCCGACCAGCACTGAAGAAGAGTTCTTTTTTTCCCACACCCATGCCAGCATTTGTTACTGGTTGATTTGTTGAGAGTAGCTATTTTTAGCTATGCTTTCTTTCTGTTTGACAGAATCTTAATGTTTTAATTTGCATTTCTCCAATGGCCAGCAATGTTGAATTTTTTTCATGTATTTATTAGCCAACTGTATTTCTTTAGCTTTCAATTCCATCTCCATTTGAGGGATGGAGCACAGAGTCTCAGTTTAGCGCTAAGCCCACATTACCCTGACTGCAAAGGACTCCATCTCCAGCTGGTTGGCTGTCTTCCAAGCAGACCCAGCACTGGCTCCAAGCCCGACAAGGAAGTCGTAGACCTTTTCTTAGCCAACCAGTGCCTGGTGTTCAGCACTGACAGCTCTTGCACACCAAAACACTTACATAGAAAGTATTTTACAAACTCCATATACAGCAAGTGCTCACCCACAATCCAACTCCAACATTTAAACATCCATTACCTTTTTGGCATAGAGCACGATTTTCTGGAATTGGCCTGTTTCTGCAAAACACTGGATAACTTTGCTTGGCACATTTGCCCGAAGGTACACACTCAGAGCGAGCATAGGGTCTGAAGTTTTGACCAAATCTCCCAGCTCCTCTGAACACTCCAGCTGTGTATGGCAAAGGAAAAGGTACAGTTAGGACCCAAACAGTAGTGTGCCTGTGCGCCTGTGACCTTGTTTTCAGTCTTTGATGGGGGTTGTCATTTCACAATCATTTTATCTTTTCCTTCCTTGTTTTTTTTTTTTTTCTGTCTTTTTTTTTGAGACAAGGTCTTGTTCTGCAGTTCAGGCTGGCCTTGAGCTCATTTTGTGGCCCAGGCTGGTCTCGAACTTGCAAGGATCTTCCTGCCTCAGCCTCCCAAGTCCTGGGATTACAGGCGTGCGCCACCATGCCCATCTCTTTCCTTTTCTTTCTTTCTTTTTTTTTTTTTTCTTGAGACAGGGTCTTGCTATGCAGTTCAGGCTGGCCTTGAACTCACTATGTTGCCCAGGTTGGCCTTGAACTTGCAGCGATCCTCCTGCCTCAGCCTCCTGAGTGCTGGAATTACAGGTGGGCAGTACCACACCCAGTCATTTGTTTTGGTTCTTTGAGACTCACTACCAAGTTCAGGCTGGCCTTGAACTCCCTATGTGGCCCAGGGTGGCCCTGAACTCACAACCAATCCTCTTGCCTCATACCTTATCTTCTTTTAACCACTTTTCTAAGAGTTGCTTGCGTCCCTGCTGAAGAACCGGTCGGCAAAGCTCTAAGGATTCAAGTTTATTGAGCTGACCCTGGTCAAGCAGGATTCCAAAGTACTGGAGCAAAGGAGAGGGTTGGCCTGGTTGGGCAGGTACACTCTGGAACTTCTGCACCGTGTCACTGGTACGCAGAATTCCCTGAAAATAAATGGAAAGGTAGGTATTTTTTGCTGTTATCACAGGACATCCTTCTACTTAATTTGCTTGTATTTAAGAAAATCTGCTGATGGACTTTTACATCAACTTGATAGGAACAAAAAGTCCTCTACCAAGCCAGTTGCTTTCAAATCCATCAATCATCATTACTGTAGGTCTACCTCCTAGGATGACTGCACATATTGCCTCTTATTTCTCCCTTAGCATGCTGCAGTGAGAATTAGTCCTCTAATTTGGCCTTGCAGTAGTGTAGTTCTATCACCATTATATTTTAATTCAAATTATTCAAAGTTCCAAATGAACACTACAAATGGTTTGTTCAGAGTTTGGTGTGGTGGTACATGCCTATAGCCTTAGTACTCAGGAGACTGAGGCAGGAGGATTGCTACAAGTTCGAGGCCACCCTGGACCATATAGTGACTTCAAGGCTAGCCTGCACTACATAGCAAGATCCTATCTCTCTTTTTTTTTTTGGTACCGGAAATTGAACTCAGGACCTTGCACTTGCCAGGCAGGTGCTTGTGCCGCTGAGCTATATCCCTGGCCCAAGACCCTAACTTGAAAAAAAAAAAAAAAAAAGGTTTGTTCAAAACAATCATCTGACAGAAATAATTCTTTCAAAGAGAAGTAACTTGAACAGTAATGTTAGGTGAAATAAATTAGACACACAAACTTAAATATCACGTTGTTTTTCTTATATGAGAAACCCAGGAGGGAGACTGATTGTTCTCAAAGGGGAAGGGGATAAGAAGAGAGGGAAGGGATATGGGATGAGAAAAGGTAGTGAGATGGGCTATGTACCTGTACCACCTCCACACAAGGAATATAAGCATATGTACTGCAAACATATAACAAGAAAAATAGGAAGGGGATGAAGGGATGGTGGTGGTCAGAGGGAGGGAAGGGAAAAGGGATGAAAAAAGGAATTTAGATGTGTTATGTACATGTACCAGCTTCCCACAAGGAATGTAAACATTATGTACTATTCTCATGTACTAATAAATTAAAATAATACAAAAAAGCGAAGCAATTTGAAAGTCTTTACTCAAGAGTAGACTGATTTATCTTGATGAAATAAAAGAAAATAAAAGAAAAAGCCAGAGGCAGAACTGTCATTCTCTAGAAATGTGGACAAAGTTCACACTAGAACTGTTGCTAGTAGATACAATCATCTAACATATTACAGTTTTATACGTAAGAGGCAGGAAGAGTGGAAAAGTCAAGTCACCCAAAGGTGAACCTGTACATAAGCTAAGATGCTGGGGAAGAAATATGCATCCACACAGATAAGAAAAGGAGTCCTCTATTCGGCAGCGCATATACAGGAAAAGGGAGACTCTGAAGAAGAGTATATTAGTGCAGCAAGGTTGTGCTTTTTATTTGTTTCTTTCTATTATGGTTATGCATTGGTAAAAAAATTGGAACTGAAGAACAAAAAGCACACTAATATACTCCAGCGTCAGCAGTGAAATGCTTCCATGATTTCTTTCTTTTTTTTTTGGTCTTTTTGGGACAAAGTCTTGCTATGCATTCAGGCTGGCCTTCAGTTCACTTTGTAGCTGAGGCTGGCTTCAAACTTGCAGTGATACTCCTGCCTCAGCCCTCCAAGTCCTGGGATTACAGGCGTGGGCCACTACGCTCGGCCTTTTTTATGATTTATTTCCCTGTCTAGGTTTGTTCCTAAATCTCCAGAATGGCATATAGTGTTCAAATTTCATTACCTTTGGTGCAGATGCTGCTACTTTGGCAGCTTCAGCATAGTTGCTCTGTGCAAACAGAGCATTGAATTTCCTCACAAACAATTCCTCTGCCCCGGGCAGGTTACTACGAACAGCCAAGCGCAAACCCAGGTCTGGATTCTGAAGCACATTGGTTGTATAGTTCACAATGTTCTCTTCTTCAACACAAACTGACAGCACCTGTAAGGATCCACCGAGTGAGATAGGCTCCACTCACACACACACACACACGCACATACACACACACACAAAGGGCGCACGCGCACACGCTCCTCCACCTTCCTTCACAGCACTGCAGTCTTAGCTGATGTCCCAGGCTTGTGTGGCACATGCCTGTGATGTGGCACATGCCTGTGATGTGGCCCTTGGAGTGAAAGGATACAGAAATGCCAGCTGGCTAAAGTGGGATTGCTTCATACAGCGACAACACGGGATTCTATACAGCTGTTGACTAATCAACTGAGAAAAATATAAAGTCACACGTGCACTGACCATAGTGATATGCTGAGGATACTAAAAATATCTGTCTGGTTATACTGACAAATTCCTGCCCCACCCCCCTGCTTTGGAGACGGTCTCACTATGTAATTCAGCCTGGCCTTGAGCTTATGTAGTCCAGGCTGGCCTCAAACTTGTAGAAATCCTCCCGCCTCAGGTGCCAAAGTGCTGGGCTTACAGGCATGTGCCACCACACTCAGCTCTTCTCATTATTTTTCTTATGAGTGTATAGATTTCCTTTTCTTTTTAACTTTGGTTGAGAAAGGTAACTTTGATAACGTAGTATCTACTTTTCCTACTTTGTCCAGTCAGTGAGTGCATGGCGTGAGATGATCATGCTGTGTTAGAAATGTGGCTCCCCTAGCAGACACTTCATGTAGGAAGGAGCTGCTTGCTTCCGTCTCAGAATCAATCATGTCTTAGAGCTAGTGCTGAGTGAAGAAGGGATGATATGAAGGGGAAAGCAGACACAGATGTAACTTTAATAACAGAAGCTAACTCTTCCTGGTCGCTTCCCTGGAGGAGGAGGAAAGTTTAAGCTGCAGTGCTCAGTGCATACAAGTGGTGGGAAATGAAACCTCAGAGTTACACACCTGTCCTTTTTTGTTGACACCGATAATCCCAGAGGTAGGTTCATGTGGAGCAGTTACGAAGATTGTGTCAGCACTGATACGGTTCATGTAGATGCACACGCCAGACTCTAGGTCATACATATGAAGATAGCCATACTTTGTGATCAAGTAGATAACACCATGATTAGCTCCAATCTGTATGACAGAGTAAAACAGGATAGAAAAAACAGAGAAGCCAAGTTGGGCAAAAGAACTCACAAATGATGAAAAGGATTCTTGAGTCTCCTAGGCCAAGATCATCAGTAGAAGCAATGCTTCCCTGATATACGGATTCTAAGTCCTATCCCACACCTTGGCCTGTTAATAGCAAAGTTCTGACCAAGAACAGAGCACCACTGAGGTTTAGAGGCAAGAATCAGCTTTATTATGCTGGTGGACCCGACTGGGATCGCTCCCAAAGAAGTTGGGCCCCCACAGCTCAGGGAGCAAGGTTTTTCTGGGGTTTTGAAGTGGAAGTACAGAAGCAGAATGGCTTGTTGTTTGGGGATTGGTTCTTCCAGAAGCGGAAGTCCAGCCTTTTTTGGGAAGCGGAAACTTAACTAAGTAACAGGAACTGAGGTCAACTGGTGGTTTAAGCAGGAGGGACCCTATCATCTTATGGGGGGGGTGCATTGTCTGTTATAGACCTAGTGTTAAAGCAAATATTCTGCCCAGTCATTCTCAAAGGTCTGAGAAAACTGGCCTATTTAATACATTTTTCAGGTAGGGACATCCTTTTCATAGTTTCTTTCTTTTGGAGACAGGATGGCTGGTCTTGAACTTACTCTGTAGGTCAACTGGCCTCAAACTCGAGGCAATTCTGCTTTAGCCTTTGAAATACTGGGGTTACGGGCATGTACTACCATTTGACTTTTCTCTAGTTTCTCACCAAACTCCTTTAGGCAAGCTGCAAATTCATAAAAGAAAGAGAAAGTTTTAGACAAAGACCTCAAATACTGATTTCACTTTCTCCTCTTCCTCTTCTTCCTTTTCTTTTTTTGTCTTGTCTTTTTGAGACAGGGTTTCACTATGCAGCTCAGGTTGGCCTTGAACTCACTTTATAGCCTACGCTGGTCTCCGACTCAGAGTAATCCTCCTGCCTCAGCCTCCTGAGTGCTGGGAGTAGGGGTATGTATCATCACACTCAGTTTCTTTATCTTACTCTTAAATATATCTCAGATAGGCCAGATTTGCAATAATAAATATAATTAAGAGAGCAATAGAAAAAATATGGGTAACTATTGTGTTCATCTTAGCAGCACAGAATTATTTTCAAAACATCATACCAAAGTTACATAAAAATACAAAACTTCAGCCTGGTGTGGTGGCACAAGCCAGTAATCTTAGCACTCTTGGAGGCTGAGACAAGAGGATCATGAGTTCAAGCCCAGCCTGGGTAGCTCAGTGATTTATTGAGATCCTGTCCCCCTAAAAAATGCTGGGGACCATAACTCAGTGTGAAGGACCTGATTTTAGTCCCTAGTACTGGAAAAAATCCTATATGATGGAATACACCACAAATAAACCTTTGTTGTGACTAGGGAAAATACTTGAAACGTATCAGACAGCATTCCAGAACTACAAAGCACTCTTACAAGTAAGATAAAGATTCTGACTGAAAAAATGCAAAGACCAGGAAAAGGCAACTAGCAAGATGAACATGATAAACCCATTCTTTCTCACCAGAAAGCAAGGGAAGAAAAGAAAACCACTGACCACTGTCCAGCTATCAAGGACAGCAGAAGTAAGGAGTATGGTCATGAATGTCAGTGACATGCTCATGCCCCTGGCCCACAGTTTCCTACCCAGAAATTTATCTTCATACTTTTGGGCTGATGCACAAAGATGTATGCACCACAGTGTTCCTTGAAGTGCTTACTGTAAACCTAAAGGTCCATTAATGGGACTGTTCGAGGTATAGCACACCACAAAACACATGATACAATGAAATAACAATAAATGTGTTATTTTATTGATCTATGACATAGCTGACAGTCATAAAGCAGCAAAGATAGTGTTCAGCCATTTTTATAGGAGTCTATTTGTATATATCTCCATAAATATATGCATAAGAAGTTACTTTCAAAGTGATGGTTACAATTATCAGTCATGGTAGGATTTTAGTAGATATTTAACTCTGCTGCTAAATTTATTGATATTGTTGGCAATTGATACACAACGTTTCTTTTTATAAAACAGAAAAAAGTTAATTTCACCTTAGTAAAAAAATTACATTCTTTGCTGGGCGTGGTAGTGCACACCTGTAATCCCAGCACTCGGGAGGCTGAGGCAGGAGGATTGTTGTGATTTCAAGGCCAGCCAGGGATACAAAGTGAGCTGAAGGTCAGCCTGAACTGCACAGACAGACCCTGTCTCAAAAAGACCAAAAAAAATATTACATTCTCTGATCAGGTAATTACTACCAGAAATCTAAATTACAGGAATTGTAATTATGATCAGATATTTGAAAAGAACAAAAAAGGTAAATAGCTAAAACATCCTCCAATTATAGTGCACCCTTTAAAAAAACCTGCTTATTTCCTATAATGTTTGCAAGAATAAAATACCTTATGGAAATACCAACAATGTACTCAGAAAAACAGTAAAAGGGAGAATAGATCATATAATCTTTTTTGTTGCTTTTTTGTTTGAGACAGGGTCTTGCTCTGTAGTTCAGGCTGCCCTTGAACTCACTATACAGTCCAGAGTGGCCTTGAACTTGCGGGGATCCGCCTGCCTCAGCTTCCCAAGTGGTGGAATTATGGGTGTGCAACACCACACCTTGTGAATCACATAATCTTGTATAGTATGATCCTAATTTTGATCAGAAAAGGTTTATATCTAAATTTTTATATAGCAAGTAGTAAGCACTTTGATGTATACTCAACTGGAGGACTATTTTCTTCTTCATATATTCTTTTACCACAGAGATCATGTAACTTTTTATATTAAAGGGAAAAGGTCTAGGACTTTGGTGCATGAGGTGGAAGAGTCTCGTGCTGCTTTACCCCATGCAACCCCTTCTGTAAGCAGGACCTTTCCTAATCTTGCACAAAGTCCCAGGCTTCTAAATGGGTAGGGATCACAGATCTTGGATGAAGGGAGACAGGCAAACTCTAGGTGGCAGGCTCCTGTACCTAAGAAGGTGCCATAATAGATACTTTAGAACATGAAGATGTTCAGAGAGCAGTACATCCATACCTGCATAGCCACTGGAAAATCAGTTTGTGCCTCTGGAGGGAAAAACACATCCACAGCTTTCTTTACGAAAGGCTGGTTTCCTGCTGCAGGCTGTCCAACTTCGATTATGTGCAACTAGAAGAGAGATTTTAGGTCAATCCAAGTTAACTGTCCTGTGGCAGATAGGTGCTAACCAAGGCACAGTGGTTGAGTGGCGTAGCCTCAGTTCTAAGCTCTGTACGACAAACACTAAAGCTTACATTCAAATAAAACAAACTGGGAGTGTTGACTCATATCTGTAATACCAGCACTTGGGAGGCTGAGGCAGAAGGATCCTGAGGTCCAGGTCAGCCTAGACAATTTAGGGAATGTAACACTGCCCTAGATTACAGAGCAAGAGACTGTCTCAAACACACACACACATCCCATCGGTAGTGGGTTGACAACTGGCGGTCAACTTATAACCCTCAGCTGAACTGAGTAAGCGTGGTGCTGGGTGTGGGAGGCCCACCTGAGGACTGTTGCTAGCTGCATAAGAGACAGACCTGGAGAAGAAGAAGGAGGCTTTTGGGAACTGAGCAAGGCTGTTGGAAGCCGGTAGATGCTGTAAGGAGCTGTTGGTTCCTTTGGGGGAGCTTGTCATGCTGCCTTTCCTGATGAACTCGGCTGTTTTCATCCTCCAAGGAGCTCGGGACCTCGTTGGCACTGAGAATAGCTTTGGTTCACTTTGAGGGAGCTCCTCACTTGGAGTATTGCTTACTGGCTCCTGAAGAAGCTTGCTGCTTTGGCTTTCCTGATGGGAACTCAGCTGTCTCGATCACTGGAGGAGCTTGGCACCTCACTATTGCTGAGCATGGCTTTGGTACCTTTTGGGGGAGCCCTGGTTCTTACTTTGAACGTTGCTTCCGGGCTCCAGTGCAGATGGCTCAGCCTGCTAGCACAGATCCTTCACTAGATTCCACCACTGCCCTTTGGGCGTTTCCAGCACAGATCCGTGAAACAGGCCTGCATGAGACGTTGTCATGGGCTCTGAGCCTCTGGCTGGGTTCATGGGAGGCATCATTATGGGCTCTATTCAGCTGGACTCATGCAGGACATTATTTCAGAATCCAGGCCCTCAGCTGGATTCCTGGTCTATAGTGTGTGGACAGGTTTTCTGCATGCTCTTAGGTATATCATTCTTTGGGTGACTATTATAAATAATCTTATAAAATATGTGTCCTGTATGCTATTGTTCCCCTTGCAAATAACCCCAAACCACCACACCACCACAACCACCAACAAAGTAAGACAACCCCTTTTCTAAGATTCTTGTGATTATTCACCAAACTGCTCCATAAACCAGGTACAACGGAAAGAACCAATGCCAGGAAACCTAAGAACATTCAGCTTCAGGAGGCCGGCTGAGTCACGTCTCCATTCTCTGGGCTCTGATATTGATTCTCCAGAAACAAATGCATCAACTGGAGCCTGTTACCCCCCTTACTATTCCAACTCTGTTCTCTCATCCCCCAGATACAGCTCAGGCTAACAAGAACCACTCAGTCAACAAGACTCCTCCCTGAATACCAAACTCATGAGACAGTCTGACTCACCATGGCATAGCCCTGAGTGCTTCAAGGTTATGCTAGGGAACGTAAGAATCCCTGTAGAATGCTGAGGAATAACTGAGGATGAGGGGACCCTGCCTGCTTTTATCAGAACAGCTCCAAGTTCCTGTTTTACAAAGGTGCCTTCCCTATAACTTTGATCAAAAGAAAAAAATGTCATAGTTCAAATAAGACGGGGCGGGAGTGGGGACGGCGGCAAAGAGGGCACCAAAAACAACACTCTAGAAAAAGTCACGAGCAGAGGTGGGCTAAAGACATGATACAACTGCAAAGTGGGCTAGGAGGGGAGGCTGACATGGCATCATGCTGGGGCTACTGTGGGTCACAGGGGAGAGGACACTTCAAGACAGTGGTGAACCTGTGATACTCATGTCACAGCAGGCACACAGACCCCTCTGTCATTGCCTCAGCATGCCCCAGTAGCCAAGCATCAGATAACTGCACAAAAGCATGTTAATTGCAAACTTTTACCTTTCAATACAAAGCTGTATCAATGAAAGCTGTTATTGTGTCTTTAAGAAAAACGATGTTCATGTATGAGTTATTTTCTAAACTAAACCCTCAGTATTCAGGTTTAATTGCAATCTTGGCACTTTGTGATTAAATAAGTAAATTTTGCCTGGTGTGGTGGTGCATGCCTGTAATCCCAGCACTCGGGAGGCTGAGGCAGGAGGATCGCAGTGAATTTGAGGGCAGCCTGGGCTACACAGTAAGTTCAAGTCCAGCCTAACCTACATAGTGGGACCTTAACTTAAAAAAAAAAAAAGAAGTGGGTTTTGGGTTATAGTTTGGGCACTCGGTCTCTAAATGGTTCGCCATCACTGCTTTAAGATAAAAGGTAGTTTCGGGAAACTGGTGAGGCTTCTAAAGACATGATCTTGCACAAAGTCCCAGACCTTTCAATGGGTTTGGATGAATCACAGATCTTGGAGAGAGGGAGCTGGCAATACAAACTGTAGGTGGCATTTCCTATAACTAAGAAAGTGCCTCAGTGGTTATTTTATTTAAGTTTTTTTTGGGTTTTTGAGACAGAGTCTCACTATGTAGTTCAGGTTGGTGAGTGAACTCACTTGTAGCCCAGACTGGCCTTGAACTTGTGGTAGTTCTCCTGCTTTAGCCTCCCAAGTGCTGGGATTAAAGGCATGCACCACCATACTTGGCTTGTTAATTTTTTTCCTCAGTGGGTATTCTGGAACATGAAGATGTTTAGAGAGCAGCACATCCACACCTACACAGCCACTGGAAAATCAGGCCATTCTCTCAGGGCTTAGTCACATTTAAGACATGCAAGACTTGCTAAAGGTCAGACAGTGACAACAGAAAAAAAGAAAGCTCAAGATTTCTTCTAAAGAGTTAAGGACAGTGACACTACAACAAAAGTGGAGGTATGGGAATAGAAGCCAGGGATCTCAGAAAGCAGTAGAAAGGTATGACTTCGGACAGGCATCTACTTGTGAAAAGGTCCACAATAAGGAATGCAGTCCAGGAAACTCCCAAGTGTCTGATGAAATCCCAGCAGAACACTATGACTCTCCAACATCAGAAGTTCTTATACCTCCACACCACTGTCCATGGCAGTCCTGCCAAAAAGGGGCTGTCCAGGCCCCAAGCCTAGTAACAGCCAACTAGCTCTCAGGTACAGCCTTGTCTTTCTTGTCTTTCTGCAGCTTTTCTGAGATCTGCCCCACTTCCATCCTACCACAAGGGCAGAACAATGCCTTGGGTGGTGCAGAAGCCATGCCTTAGAGCAAAGAGGGTACCACACCGTGATCTCAGAGCCATCTCTTCCAGGAAGCTGATGCCTGACAGCAGAAACTGTGCCTCACTTTTTTTCATGGCCCATCTCAGTACAGTCTAAGAGGATTTGTAGGGAAAGGGTTCATCTGAAGAGTAGTTGACTTTAGTTTTTTTTGTCTTTTGTCTTTTATTTTTGTTTTTGTTTCAGTACCAGAAATCAAACTCACGACCTTGTGCTTGCCAGGCAGGTGCTGTGCCACTGAGCTAAATCCCCAGCCCCTGAGTAGTTGACTTTAGTTTCTAACTTTATACCAAGGTTGCTACCAAACCACTGGCATGTACAAAGGAGTACTAAATCTCACAGGAGATCTTGTTTCCATAGGCACTGGAAGGCCGTGCTGCATCCCCAGCTGCACTCATGACACTGAATCCTCCTACCATTTCTTGGAGAAGACAAAGTGAAGTTGACCTTACCTTGCCTCCTGCAGGACTGCGGACAGCAAAGCAGAAAAGGGTGGAGGGCTTGGCATTCCCCTCCATCTTGAACTCTGCAAAAGCAGCAGCATGGCCTTCTATGGGCTGTGAGACCTTCCTCTCCACAGAGTAGAGCTGCATTGCCCCAACCACACGATTTTGCTAAGAAAAGATATTTTGTGATTAATGAAAAAGAAACAATTCTTAAAAACATATGATAACTGGGTTTGATGTGGAAATATGGCTGAGTGTGCTGGTGTATCCCTGTAATCCCAGCATTTGGGAGGCTGAAGCAGGAGGATCATCATGAGTTTGAGGTTAGCCTGGGATACATAAATTCAAGATCGGTCTCAACTACATAGTTGAGACCCTGCCTCCAAAAAAGTAAATATGGCTACAAATAAACAAACAAGATTACAAAATAGTAAGATACATAATCCTAATTTGTTCTTTTTTTTTTTTTTTTGCTACCAGGAATCAAACTCAGGACCTTATGCTTGTCAGGCAGGCACTGTGTCACTGAGCTATATTTCTGGCCCCCTAATTTGTTAAATATAATCTTTGTGTATTTTGTCATAGAAAATAAGTCTTGGGAGGAAAGACTACAAAATGTCAACAGTAGTTTAATTAGGATAATGAGTTACAGGATAATTTAAAAAACTGCTTGTCTGCAATGTATAAAGAGCAAATATTCAATTTAATAAAAAAAGACTAATATCTTTAATAAAATTCAGAATTTATATTTTCTAGCAAAGAGTCCCAGTACATTATTCTCAATATCAAATGCTCAACTACAGAATAAATGGAACATGAAAACATCAGTGAAGTTCCTGTAATTCAACATTCAAGCCTTACCTCTGTCAACCAGGCCCCTAAGTAGTCTGTGGGTAAAATTCACATCCTCAGTCTATTTCCCACCTACTCATATTTCCTTAAAGCAGAAAAACATGACTTCAACTTCTCTTTCTTTAAAAAAATATCTTTTAATCCCAGTACTTGGGAGGCTGAGGCAGAAGCAGCGCAAGTTGGAGGCCAGTCTGTGTGACAAGAGAGCTTGAGGCTGCTCAGTGGGACCTTGTCTCAAAAACTAAGATCTAGATTAAGTCAGGTCCTGCGTTCAGTTGCCAGTACCACCAAAACAAAACTCTTCTAATGTCCAGCATTTCCCTATTGTACAGACTTACGGACACACTAAAAGTCCTTATGCAAAGGAAAGAAATCAATCACAAAAGACAAGATATTGTCTGATTCTACCTATGAAATAAATACCCAGAAGAGGGAAATCTGTAGGGTGAGAAAGTAGATCAGTGTTTGCCAAATGGTAACATTAGGGAGAAATGAGTAACTTGCAGGTAAGTGGTATGCACTGTAACAGAAGAATGAACAAG